TGCCAGTAAGCTCGTGTCAAGTGAAAAACATTTCAATTGAATATCGTTGCACAGCTCCTTTAAGGGTGAACGAAGTATAGCCACTAAAGCGGATTCAAGCAAGGGTATCCACCTGACCCCTTCGACAAAACGTGATGCCAAGAAATACATTCATCGCCTGCGTGACAGTCTGTACTACGACGCGTGGCTCGACAGCATCCTCGAAAACAGCTATACTTCACTATCGTCTCCGACTTGAGTACACTGGTAGCTTACTTTACCGGACCTGACAGGTGGAGACACCGAGTTGCACGTGCGGCCATCCCGTGGAAGATGTTAAAAACATCATTATGGACTGCCCTACATACGATCGGTGACGAAGTCGATTACGGGTTGGGCTAAGCCCGCATACTGGACAATAGCTCCTTTTCTTTGGCCAAAGTTCTAGGCCTTTGGCATGACTTTAAAAAATGTAGAAGCGAGCATCAACCTTGCTACGTGATTTTTAATAGCATTTTAAAATAGCGGCTATATATTAAATAATATAACTAAAAAAACTTTTTTTAATTCTTAGATGTTTAGTATGATGTTAATTCACTTTTGTATATCACTAGTCTTATTATTGTAATTTACAGTACATATGTCTTTATCATGTAAAACCCCTTTGTGTATTCTTATGAATTCTAGAAGTATCTGTATATTTCAAATCATTTTTTATTATGTCGACATTTTATAATTGTTCTTCATACACCATTCATACTGTTCATTCCTCGAGTTTAAAGTAGCCGGTTCCAGAATAACGGAACGATTTCTTCATCTCATCAAATAAACATTGAATTGAATTCAAGTTCGTTTTTAGACTGCGTACGGTCGGTCAGCCTTTGAGTTGTGGCGACACTGATTTACGCTGTAGGTGAGAAATTTAGTGAGTTAGCGTGTATCACGCAATAGTAGAGAGTTTTAGTACTCGCGGCGAGAAGTTGTCGCCGCCTGGTGGAATTTTTTCGAAACCCAGAGTGAGGACACTTCAACTTCCTCTGCTGGTGCAAGCACGTGAAATGCAAAGAATATGTGCACCATAAAAATAAAAAGGTAGGACGTGCTTACACTAGGTAGGACGTGCACTTCCCATAGTGAGGGAAACAGATGCCTCTAGCGAGCTTCTCATCGCGAATAGATATCGTGCGCTACAGAAATCGGGCCCAACGGGCGCCTGCTCAATTCATGATTCGAAAGGACGGCACGAGCTCCCATGCTAGAAAGGCGTCGCTCTAAAATACGGTCTACTAAAAGTCGTTAGTGATACACGACCACGCGTCGGTACGACGGTCATCCAGATCGGAACGGGCAAGGGTGAAGAAAGCTCAGGAACCCAGTGCTCTGCCATGTTCTGCATCGCTAGCTTTCCCTCCGCGTGCTCCGAGCTTCGGTGCGCTAACATACTCGGCCATCGATCCTCCCATGTGGTTGAGACAAAATATCAGATTGTGTCAAAGCTTACTCAGTTTTTATCGAATACATCACCGTCATCGCCGTGTCCTATTCAAAGCGCAACGGCAATCCTGAGATCGCCATTCCTCGGCCGCGCAGTTTCCATATGAGCCGACGGAAGCCAAGAGCGCGTCTCTCGCACTGGGCCAGCCCAACCGTCCCCTTGAGAGAACTATAAACGCACTCCGCCGAATCAATAATTAGGGGCTCCGCTCCGATCAATGCGGAGAGCCATTGAGCATTCAAGGCTCATCCGTCTTGATTAGTTGCCGCTCTAAATGGGACGTATAATTTAAGCTCGACGTCCGGCGACATCACACGCCTTTCGCCACAGAATTCCCGGGAGGAGCAGCGCGAGTGTATGCAATGACCTTCGTAGATTTTCGCTGGGCGCGGAAAAGTGTCAGGTAACAGAGAAACGGGCCACTCAAGCGAACTAAATTAGCATTTTTGTTTGCCTTTCGCATCGGTATGACCTGCCCACCCTTTGTGATTGTATGTAACAGTGGAAGAGAGTGGAGTTCTCACTCTGTTATTTTTGTTAAAACAGAAATCCCCCAACCAGTTCCCAACCTTCTAGATGTAACAGAGATGTTTGCTTATTTTGTTTATTTCGAATTGGAGAGAGAGAGGGCGGCCAGAAGACGTTGAAGGCCTCCGTTGCGTGGCAGGCCCTGGAGTTTGACAAAATTAATCAAAAGAGAAAATGACAAAAAGGGAGAAGGGGAAAAAAATGCCTGAAATCAGTAGACACCGCCGACGAGATGAGAGCAACGAGCCACCCCCGAAATATGCAGAGAACAGAGAAAGCATAGCACTTTGCATATAATTGCGGACTCCACAAATGACGCCCATCTACACAGCCACAATTCATGCACCTTTTTCTACGTTTTTGCACCGGGATGGCAGTAAGAAGTCATCTGTTAGCGATTTATACAGCTTCACCTTATAGAGATCGTATGCCGTGTTGGCCACGTCTCCTCTGGAACGGAGCACCGAAGTTTCAAACGGAGTTTCCATACAAATCCATTGCAGACTACAAATCACTGCAGAAGCACCTTTACTGATTGGCAGAGTGCAAAATAAGACGTGTGTGCGCCATAATCTTGTGCTTGCTGGAGCCTGCCTAAATTGTCGTTATCGCCAAGGTGTCGGCTACAGGGACGACCATCCCATGCTCCTCGGCACTAATGCTATCGTATCACTGCAGTGTAGTGGAATGAATCTTCCAATTTTCGGCGCCTGTCCTCATTTTGAGCTCGAGGTTCTAATTTAAAAACGTTTCTCTCTTCGTTAATTTGACGATACGCACATTCGTACACCTATGTGGTTCATAACTGTTATATAGCGCGCCGTGAATTCCGCTGCAAACTGTCACTTGACTGTCCTCTTCCAGTAGATACGATGCCACAGAAACGGAAACGCAGGAGTAGCCGCTTACGTATACGTTCAGCAAAGCATTGGGCATGCGCAGGATCTTGAACGTTTTAAAAAGCGCCTACTGCGCGTGCCTGTCCACACCCATGTCGCAAGGTTTCTGCACCGCATACGGAGCGACAGCGCACTGCAGCATGCGAAATCTACAGCCTATACAGTGTACGAACACTTGCGCAAGCTCTACAAGCTTGCGCAAATGTTTGTACAGGTTTACGTTCGTGCGCGCAGTGACACACCCTCTTTGCACCGTCTCTGACGCATGCACGGACGCGGCAATTTGTGGTCACTGTATTAGAAGGGGCGTGACACCAGTTTGCGGTTTAGACGTTCGCAACAGGAGTGTTTTCTCGACCCGACTATACGTAGTTTTGCATGTTAATCAGCAGCCGCGGTGTGTTTTCTTTAGAGGAAGAAAGAGGGCGTTTTCCGTAACGTTTGATGTCCTCTGTTTGGAGGAAGCTGGCGATATCTCAAATATGTTGAGCAGGGAAATCGATTTTGTGAGCATTTTTGCGCTCAGTCACGAAGAAATTACGGTACGAAACATTAAGTTTCAAACTTGGAATTTACGCGCGTGTTTTCTCCTTCGACAACCAGCTCGTTGTTACTAACCTCTCTTTCTTTTTTGTCTGAAATACTTCTATTTTAGCTGTTCAATCTTCAACAAAAATTCGGTCATTATCACTCCGATATTGAAGAAACAAAAATGGGCGGAAGCCGCAATTTTCAAAGTTCTGCCTAACGCCAACCTGCGTACAAATACTCTCACGTTGTTTTATAGAGGCTACGATATTAGGCTGTGGCACGGGGGTGCGGTGGGGGTGGGGGGAAGGGTTTAGCGTTGGGCCGGCGAGTAGCTGAAGAGGAACCCTTGATTTAGGATTGGACTAAGGGCGCTGAGAGGCTTTGTGATCGCGCTCAGTTGCTTCTAGAAAGAGAATAAACTGAGGGCAGGCTATTAACTTTTGTTTTATATGAAATGCGGTAGAATTTATTACCCTGGAGCATGCAATCGTCTTTCGTCTGGACGGTCGCGATTTGGTTTGGACTGGGTTCGTGAGTCCGATGAGCGGTTCCCACAGTGCTTTTTCCCTCTGTTCGTTCGCTCGTTACGTTCACTTTCCCTCTAACAAGAGGGAAACAGATGCTGGAAAGCCTTCTGGCACGCTTCCAATGACGCGCCGCGGGGACGGAGGGAATCGAGCGGCCGTGGCCATACGCGACAACGTAAGTCCGGGGCCCAGCCACGACGCCGATTGCGCGAAATCGCCGACACCCGGCCGGGAGGAAAGATTGGCTCTTCGAAGACAACAGTACGCGGACCGCGGCGATCGAGGGAAACTGGGGTGGCTGCATCCGAAACTGCCTATGCCCGCGAAAACAGACTGGCTGTCCGAAGACAACAGTATGCGAACCGCTGCAAGGTTGTAATTTCCATCTTTCGCTAAGTCGGAACCACCTGCGCTAAATGATAACGTATTTTGTCAAGAACCGGCGTAACAACAGCAGCGATTTCGGCATCGTTTCTTTTTTCCGTGAATGGTCAAAGGTGGGAACTAGAATGCCGGAAATCTAGAGAGAACTTTTCTGCTGGTGTTATGCAAGTAACTTTATCTATAGCTTCTTCGCGATTGATCAAACTGTTACATGCCCACTGCTTTTTTTTCTTTCTTTTTTTTTTTTTTTTTCTTTCAGTGTGGTTCAAATTTAGATGGAACTAATTAAGTTTTTAAAAGTCTACTTTTATTTTCCTACGAAATATGGGCGCAAACAGGGATTACGTGGTGGTTTGACAGCAGCTTGTCCTGTTTGATATCTTACGTCTGTGTTCAGTGCAATGCATGCAATGGAATGAATGTGCTATGAAACAGCCAGTACTTTCGTGGAAACGCGGGGCTTTACATAAAATCATCATCATCATCAGAGACGCGAAAAAACATCCACTTGCCATGTTGCCATGGGCACAATCACCCCTAAGTACACCACTGGACAGAGGGGCCAATCGGTAATTATTTTCATGTATACATCGCCCTCTGCGGGCCTGCTGCGATTTGTGACCTCATGTGCGTGATCAGTGCCAGGCAGGGTCTCACCTGACATGGTGTGACGATTACTGCGATGACCCGGGGTAGTCATGATCGTAACTTCTTCATCGGAACCACACGGGTGAAAAGCAAGTTGAAAGGAGCCACTTGGAAGACAAGCACCTTAGACGTTAATGGGCGTCATCGGCGCAGGACGGGTCGCTTTCTAACGGAACGCTCCCAGGAGACGACCGCGCACTCCGCGCCGTCATTCATCATTACCGAGAGTGAAGGTGACAGTCAGTGTAGCAGTACGGGACTATAGGCGTTTCGAGGAGACTTGCCATACCTAGGCATAAGACAGACATGCGTTGAGAAACGTTTCTTTGTGGGATAATTTCGACCTTTCGCTTGCTTGGGGAGCTGGTGACATGCAGTAATGCGTTTGACTTTTAAGGATGTCGTGACCAGGGGGGTATAGACGAGAGCAGAGTCCGCGCGCGTACACACGGTAGCTCGCAGGAGGTAAAAAGAAACAAAATGAATTCGACAAAATAAGTTTACTAACGCAGTCTTTTCTTTTTTTGCTTTACCGTTTATACACCACGAACAGTACCATATTTCCACTTGAATTCTCTTAGAGCTCCAAATTGAGCTTCACAGCTCCACTTGGAGCTCTAACTATACCAACAAATTTTTTTTTTCTTTATACGCTTTTCAATCGTCTTAATCCGGTTGCGCGTTCGTTTCGACCCGTAACCGATCAACAACATACTGTCTATTAGTGTATTATGAAGCGCACAAAAGGTGTGCCAAAATTAAGAATGCCTTACAGGGAGTTTGCATTCAATTTCGACCAAATTTTCTCTGAAATACACGCTGCTCAAAAACCAAAGCGCGATACTCCCAAATAAGCATACAAAACAATTCTCTTCAACGAATCGTGTAAACGTGTAGTATGGTTACAAGCGCGCGTAACTATAGTGCGCGACCATATTAGTTTACACCCTTAACGGTGTAGAGGGTGCTCCGACGACTTACACCCATTGATACGCCTTTTTCACACTCCTATTTCGCGCAATACGAATACACCTTCTTTAAGTATGATTAGGGTGTACAAAAGGTGCTGCGGTGGGGTGATGGAAAGCGACAACATACCCACTTGGAACCGCTCCATAGCAAGAGGTGTTTTAGTTGTTGCGTGGAACAATTTTGCCTGTACTGTTTCTGTATAGACCAACGCAGTGTTTACAAACAAGCCCACTTTGCCCACACCAGGTGTGAGCATTGCGCGTGCGCACAAACCAAAATCGGGAGCACTGAAGCCTCTGCGCATGCGCAGTAGCGACAGCAGCGCCACTGCAGTGGCATGACGTCAGCGAGTTGAGTTGGTCTATACAACGAGATAGCCCATAAACCTCAAAAAATGATTCATGCAAAATCGGCAAAAAAAAAAAGCAATATCTTTGTAACCTTAATGAGGTAGTCGCAGGCAAAATGGTGGCCTTTCAATTCTTGGTCATTTAAGGCGGAGGTCAAGTGTAGTGTACTTCGTCATGGTTTTGGTGCCACGTGTAGTGTACTTCGTTACTGTACGTTTTATCTCTGAGCCTGCCATCTGAAGTGTTGCTAGAACACCCTATAAGAGTGTTAGCCAAGCACCCTTAGGGTGTTAGCCCTGGAACAAACTAAAAGCAGCCATAAAAAGAAAAACGTTTTTTTTTTTTATGTTTGGATGGGACACGCCTGCCTAAAACTCAATTTTACGCGAGAAAAAATTTAGAAATATTGACGGTGAGATTTATTTTAAATTCTGTGTGCAATGTCCATGACGTCACGGAATGGTCATTCGCTCTTTCGACCTCAACGAAATAGCCATTCGCTCCTTCCACCTCAACGTGAATGCGAAGCCGATTTAGCTCTTCTCCACGCTCCCGAAATACCGAGAAAACAAGTGGAAAGGAGGTAGCGACCAACTAAATCGGGTCTCACAACGTCATTATTGCTCCTTTTTTTTTTTATTTATTTTTTTTGTCGCGGAAAAATTTGTTTTTTGACACGCGTGTCTTAACAACTGTTTAATCAGGGGCTCTTTAAAAGCACACTGAACTCTGAAAGAGTTAGTTAATGCATCGGCCCATAGAACAGAAGCGGACTTGGGAAGTAATCCGTTTCTTTTTCAAATAAATATGTAACTGCCACATTACTTTTTTGCGGCAGTAATTTGTAATGTAATTTTGTAACAAATATTGGTAACAGGCTGCTTTAATTACTCGCTACTTTAAAATGAACATAATACAAAAACTGAATCAATATGAGCCGGCAATTCAACAGCATTAAGATAGCCAGTTCAACAGAGTAGAAAGCATTGTGAAAAGAAAAATAACCGAAAACACAATTTTTTGTACGACCGGTCACTAAAACCATTAGAAAGACGTGCAAGGCATATACAAATATGCGAAAAACAAAGATCAAGACGACAACGCCGAGTAGGAGTTGTCTTCTTTTGATCTCCTAACGGAGGTAGACACTGCTCTGCTACTGTCACTGAGCATGCGCACCGCTAGATTTGTCTGCAGAATTCAGGGGATCATTTCCTGCCGCCATAAGCTAGCGGATATAGCGGGCGGGTGTGGTAGCAGGTTTCGCTGTATTGTCAGCTTAAAGTTGAACGGAGCGTACCTACATTCTTTCTCTTAATCACAATATTTTATTTTCACAAGGACTACCATAATGCTGGTGAATGAGAAATGGAAAGTATAGTCGGTGACAGGTCAAAAACGAAGTAGAAGCTCCTCCCACCCCTTTCCACTTTAGTAGAGCGAACGCTGGAGAGGAGGCGACCTCCTCTCCACCGTTCGCTTTAAATGGAAAGGGGTGGAAGGAGCTTCCACTTCGTTCTTGACCTGTCACTGGCTGTAGTATTGCAGAACATTTTTGAAAACATCAAATTAGTTTGTTGTCTTCTTACAAGCACATGGAAAAACTAATGAGAAATTAGTAACATAAGTAAAGTAATCCGTTACTTTTCAGCCAAAGTAATTTGGAATGCTAATCTATTACATGCGAGGCTCGGTAATTTTCAATTGTAATACATTACATTTTTTCGAATAACGGTAACGGGCACAAGTCTAACTAGAAGTCAGTTCCTCATGACCGCATTTTCATTAATTTCATAAGCAGTTTTTCGTTTTTCACGGTACAATCTAGCTAAAAAAAAAAAAAAAGAATAATTTTGACATATACATTGCCAGAGAGCTACCAGTCTTCTCAGCCAGCTCCGGCGTCGACAGCTGATAATTATATCAAACCTTTCCCATTATAAAGGAATAATTTTTCATCGCGTCAGAATTTAGTCGAGGCATGGGTCGTTGGAGCTCCTTCTAAGATGCGAAAGGGCAAAATGTTCAAAGAACAAGGGGACAAAGACGTCTTCCAGCCCTATTGTTATTGACACACAACATCCAAAGGTTTTTTTTTTTTTTTTTTTTTTAGGTATATATATTTTCGATAAAGATACTGATCTATAACAGAGTTATGAAAGCTGTAGATTAAGTTTTAACAGGAAAAAAAAAAAAAACAAGCCCGAAAAAAGACACAAGGGCAAGTAGGCAAAAAATAAAGACAACACTAGGGAATACTCTGTCTTTAAAGTCCACATTATTCGGTCACCTGGCGGTTCATAGCAATATGTGTGTTTGTGCACTTGTTTGAACACACTGAAATCTTGGCAACACAGAAGACACTCCAAAAATTGGTTAAGAAATTCATGAGGCATAGATGTTTGCGTTCGTGCAGTGTCAGTTACGATGTGCAATGAAGAGTTTGAATTCATTCGTAGAATGGGAATGTATGTGCGAAAGTTGAGTTTTAGTTCCTTCAATTTTTAAGTTTGTTAGGTATTCTGGAACATCTGGTTTTTACATTTTCGAATGGTTGACTAAAGAAGTGTCCTGCTAAGAATCTGTTTTTCTTTCCTCTCCCACTTCATTGCTTCTATCTACTGAGGATGAGAAAGAAAATGAAGTCGTCAGTCAGTGCTGTGTTAGTCCCCTTCGTCTACTTGTTATAGCTTTTTTTTTTTTGCGCTAATTTCTTGTTATTGATACAGACCGACTTGCCCACTTTCAAACTCGATTATTTTTTAATTCTGCCACATCTTTTCAAATTATACCTGATATTTCAGTGACCAAGTGTCGGGTCTCAGCCTCACCCAGATTTTGAACTGGCCACTCCTGTGCACAATCTCCCCGCAAAACATGCAAAGCAACAATACACTTTTGAAGAGAGAGCATACTACTACATCACAAAGTTTTGGGGACATGGTTTATTAGTTATTAATATTAATTACAGTGTTTCTACATTAAGTGTGTTCACTGGCAACAGTGAGTCGCAGCTTCTCTTGCAAGTACTTCACCCTTTGTAGGACTGGCTTCTTCTCGTCATACTCTGTGTAAGGTACCTGTAGGGACGGTAGGGTTTGCACAGAACTGAGAAACACAGACACTTTCTGGCTTTCTGGGAACACAGAAAAATTTACATATATATCCTGGTTTATATCAGCACAATCCAAGCATGCAGATGATTCAATCAGACATGAGAACAAATGATAAAATGGGAAACGATAGAAAAACAAGGCATCAGTGGCGGGACACGTACTCTCACCGCTGGTATTTGAAAAAAACAGATTTGGAAACAAAATTTCACGTCTTGGTAAAGAAGAAGTTATGAAGAGCAACAACCGTGTAAAATATCTGCCTATGACTTCGTTTTTACAGCATCAAACAAGGATGTCCCTCATCCCAGAATAAAGATTTTATGTTGGTGAATGACCCTCCCAAGCATGACAACACGCCTGTAAAGAAACATTACATTTTTCTTCCTGGCACGATTGTTATTTTTTTATTCATACGTTTGAAAACAGCACATAACTAAAGTATGTGACATTCTTTTTTTTTTTTTTTTTTTATGTATCGTACTAATTAAAATTGAACTGACTCTAGAACTAATATCATTCCACACTTTCATGAAGTCTTGTATATACCAACGCACAGCTCCGAGGTCACGCTGCAGCGGTGGCGCTGCCGTCGGTGGGCGCATGCGCAGACACCAAGCTTTGCGTGAACCCGATTTCCGCCCATGCACAATGCCCACACCCAGTGTGGGCAAATGCAGACGTGTTCGTAAACAGTGTGTGGGTTTACACTTCATTATTACCTAAAAACAACTTGGAGGATGCTTAAGCTCCTTTAAGAGCGGAACGTAAAAACAACTCAGAGGATGCTTAAGCTTCGCCTTTAAGAGCAGAACGTGATAGCATTATCGGGCACCATTCGCATTGCATTCTCATTCGCCATGCAAGCGTGCCTAAAGGCCCGTTCACACTCTTGCAACCGAGTATGATCGAGAGAGACGAGACTTGTTAAAACCTCTTAAAATTTCTCAGGATGAGAAAACACACTGGCACGCTGGCACCACCTATGTGGTGAGCCTGGAAGTGCATTTCACAAGAGCGAAGGTTTTGCGGTATCTCCGAGGTCCAATGTACGTAATACCTATAAGAAAGGTTCGTTTATAACGTTGACAAAAGTTTTTCGAGCCAAAAGAGACAGGATAATGCGCGAGAGAAATAGAAAATATGCCGGATCACAAAGTTTACTCTGCTACCCAATAGACGGAGCCAGTGTGTCCCCTCGTTGTAAGAGGTTTCAAGGAACCCAGTTTTAAGAGGTCGCAAGAGTGTCAACGGGCCTTTAGGTGGCCTAGTCAATAGCATGTCTGGCTTGCGACTGAAGGGTCGTGGGTTCGAATCCGGCCTAAATTCTTAAAATTTTTCCTCTAAAAACCTCTTAAAATTTTTTTTTTTTTTAGGTTTGGTTGGGACACAAGTGTCAAAAAATTAATTTTACGCAAAAATTTTTTTCCAGAGCAATCCCAGGCAGCACAAGGTGTTGGGCCAATATTGGAAGAGCATTGGCAAAAGAAGGTCCAATGATGGTCCACTTTAGCCAATCTGCACCCAATATTGTCTATGCCATTATATAGCATCTTCAGTGATGGCCCAGCTTCTCCAATGACCAACCAATATTGGAAGCACATTGGCATAAAATGGACAATGTTGGCCTGTCAGTTCCATTGGGTCGCGAATATTGGACGAACACTGGTATAAAATGGGCAATCTTGGCCTGTCAGTTCCATTGGCTTGTGAATATTGGATGAATAGCGGCGTAAACCGGACAATGTTGGCCTGCCAGTTCCATTGGCTCGCGAATATTGGATGAACACTGGTATAAAATGGGCAATCTTGGCCTGTCAGTTCCATTGGCTTCCGAGTATTCGATGAATACTGGCGTAAACCGGACAATATTGCCCTTTGAGTACCCTTGGCTTGCTAACATTGGATGAACACTGGAATAAAATGGTCAACGTTGGCCTGTCTGTGCCGTTGGCATTCCAATATTTGATGGGGACTGAAAATGGACACTGTTGGCTTGTCTGCAGCATTGGCTTGCCAATGTTGGATAAACACGAGCTTATAATGGTTACTGTTGTCTTGTTAGTAACATTCGCTCATCGTCATTTCAAAAACACAGTGGAATATAATGGTCAAAGTGTGTTAGTCTTGCAACACCATTGGCTTAATAGTGGAAGCATGTTGAAATAGGCTGGTTTTGGCAAATTTCGTTTTACCTCAACAAGTTGAAATTGCTCGAGCGATTGTCAATTTAATGTTATTTTTTCAAAGCGCGATTCAGGTGCTTTTCTGCAAAGTAAACAAAACAATAACAACGTACAGAACTTAATGGCGATGTTTTGTTCCTTCACTGTCCATACTAAGGAGTCGCGAGCGATATGGGCTCATCAGGACCGCCCACTGGGAAAAAAAAAGAAGAAGAATCGATGTGCGCGTTATAGTCACCATAATAGATTATTATGTTGACTTTATGATCTCGACAGAAAAGCTTCGTATTCTAACTACGGGCTTGTGGGCTGCACCTCGTGTCAGGTGAAGAACTTCTTTGCGATTGATTGGAACAGGACACTATTCTGAAATGTGGTTGTACAATGACGGCTCTATGACTTTACGGCACTACTGGTGCTACAATAAGAGCCCTAATGCCTCCTACATGGCGCCAAGGCACTGATAGCAGACGACAATGTTGGTTTGATAAGGAGTCTAGCTCCTTTTTTCCGCATTTGATTTATCACTGTCTCTTTTCAATTTTGACATTAGGCTCCGAGCTGATTTCAGAGCTTCGTGTCTGTCAGTCCTTCTCCGTCCTCTTGCTGTAGAGTTTATCATGTCTGAGCAATCTCTTCTACATTGGTTTTTGGAAACCCGGATAGCAAATACCAGCAGAGAGAAACGAAAAAATTCGAGAGAGAGAAGTATGCAGGGGAGGGGTCGCGCCGACGGCCTCGGAACTAACGTCCCTGAACGGCTTCCCCTCCCATTTTCCCCATGCCGTCACTAATCTCTCCTTTGTGGGTGAAGAGGACTCGACGACCTTGAGGGAGGAGGACACTGCGCATTCTTAAGCTGACAGTGCCGGGGAAGCTACGCGCCGGCCGGACCAGTCATCACCTGCACCGCTCTCTGCGCGTGGTTACGGGAGAGAGTGTGACCACGTGAATAAAAATAAACCTGAGATTGGTTCACCGAGCTTCTTAGCTTCCTCTGCACTCTCAGCTTATGGGTGATGGAGTCTAGACCGCGAAACACACGCACACACAAGCACACAGAAAGTGGGATCGCGAGCACCAAGGCCACACGATAAGGCAACAACTGGAAGGCAGTGGGGACGGTCTCCTCAATTTCCAACACCCGCATCCGCAAACTGCAAGTGGGCAGGTGCGCTTCGCAAATTATGCATGTTTTTTTGTGTTTTTTTTTTTATGGCAGAAATAGCTTTTTTCTCTAAGGAACAAGAATGGCAAGATAATCATGCTGATACCAGGACACCGTGGGTCCGTTTCCAGGTTGTCCGAGTGCATTTGATTGCTTAGCAGACTGCTTTTATCGGGCGAAGCGGCTCGGCATCTCCGCCATCCATGGGCAAGAACGGTGGTTCTAGAGTTCCGATCACCAGCAGCGCATTTCGTCTTAGTGCCAATTGCGATCTTCAACCTTTGGATTGCCAAGACCCATGGATATTCTTTCGGCAGCGCCTACATACCGGTGATCTTCCTTTGTTGTGGGCATACATGTGACCACTAGCTTCGACGGACCGAAGACACGACGGACTGCTTTCTCTTCCATGTGAGTGACAAGGAGAGGTCCTCTTGACCATTGGGGATGGGTATTCTTGCTACGCAATGTACGTTTTGTCACTTTCCGATGAGTTTGAACCGTGTCGGACTCTGTGCCAGGGATCTCCGACGAGTTCAACGTGGAATCCACAGCGATCGGCCCGAAAGGCCCTGTACAGCGCTATTTGTAGTGCTTTTTATTCTAATAGACCGCGAGAGGCGTTCTGATTAGTTATTTCTGTGCTCGAAGTTTTTTTTTATTTCATTTTTCTTGTTAAAATACGGCTGTCATTTTGGCGGCAGATGTGTGCTGCAGTAAAAAGTCCTCCAGGTATGTCCAAAGCCGAATACTACAAAGCGTTGAGTAGTACTTATTTGACAAGGTTCGGCTTGTTGGGGGCAAGTTGAGTGTCAGCTATGTCACCGCGCTCTGCGAGTGTAATTGCCACTAATTGTCTTTACACGGCAAGCTATTTTATATGCGTGATTTTTTTTTTTTTTTAATTCTTGATTGATTCAAGCGTAAAAGTTTGTTGAACTGTCATGTTCTTACGTGTAGAAATATCGGTGTGAACATAGATGGCGAGATTATGATTCTTAAAACTTCTTATAGCTAGATGAAAGGTTAAGGGACGCCATGATGTTGCAAGATTAGAGCTAAGCAATTGATAAAATAACCTTCGTACTATTCGAATATTCTTTTTTTTTTTTAATTACTATAAATATCTGAATCTAGATCGATCGAGCTTTGAGTAAGGACAAGTCGGACGAACAAAACAATAGTAAGCGCCTGGGCCGTCTTGCTAGAAACCGCGTCTCAGCCGAGACGGGGGAAGAGAAAGCACTGTCAAAGCCAGCGTACGAGCTGAACGGGACTCAAACCTCGACTCAAGACGCTTGCGCATTCCAGCCTTTACAGTGCTTTCTTTCACCCAGTCTGAGCTGAGACACTGATTTCAGCAAGCTGGCCCCGGTGTCTTTCCTGCGCATCTATTTATTTTAGAAGGCAGTACTAAGTTTTTTATATACTAAATAATGAAAAATAATTCACTGGAAAAGAAAGTTTATCATATAAAAAAGTCGGTAGGCTTTTCCGAGATTTTATACTTGAGCAACTGAACCGATTAATCGAATATTTAATTAAAGGGCAGCGATTACTAATGAAGCTCTGTTTTATTTTGATATTCATTATTGACAGGCGTAAGAGAACTGAGAGCCTCTGAAACCCTTCACCTGAATCCAACCCCCGCTTTTGTCTCTTTCAGAATCCTGTGGTCATGCCCCTGTGTGGTATCCCCTTCCTTGCCCAGCCCTCTGCCCTGTCCACTACCGAGCCTGCCGCCGACCCTGCCACCGAGTCTGCCCAGGCCCCCGTGGTTGCACAATGTTTAAAATATATTTATTCAATCTAAATAAATTATGAACTGTCAAACGTTATGAACAATTCATTTGCATGCTTTAATGATTTCTAATGTGCCCAAATATGGTCAAATTGCCGCATTTATTAGATTTTAGTGTAAGAAAGAAAACGGTGCTTCAGGAAAAAGGGAAAGATACTTGCTTGGTTCTCTGCACTGTTTTTGTGACACTGGTTAGAACACTGGCTGAAAAATAGCATCTAATAATGTCATAGACAATAGATGCAAAAATTTGCCAGTGTATTACACTGGATGCCAATATTGGAATAGCCGATATTTAAGCCAATGTTGGAAGAGCCAGTGTGTAAGGCGTTGGATGCCAATGTTGGTTCAGCCAACGGTGAAACTTCTATGCCAATATTGGATAAAAAAGCGGAAACCACGTTGGTCCAACGTGGGCTAGAACGTTGGCAAACCAGTGGTCCAACATTGGCATCAATGTTGGACCACCATTGGATCGGGTAGCGTTTTCGAAAATGCCAACGTCAGACCAATATTGAAACCATTTTTTGCCAACATTGTGCCAACGGTGGTCCAACAATGGTGTGCTGCCTGGGATATTGTCAGTGCGAGTTGGATTTAGTCGGTAATCACCTCCTTTCCAATCGTTTTCTCTCGGCATTTCTGGCGCGTGGAGGAGAGGTGGATCGGCTTTGCCTTCACATTGAGGTAAAAAGAGTGAATTAACATCTTGTTGAGCGAATGACCATTCCGTGACGTCATAGACTTTGCAAGCAGAATTTCAAATAACTCTCTAGTTGTCAATATTGCTCTAAATTTTTTTTTTTTTTCACATAAAATTAATTTTTTTATGTGTGTGTCCCAACTATTGTTTTAAAAAGAAACAGTTTTTTTTTCTTTTTAGGGGCTCTTTAAGGTAAATGATTTACTTTATACAGTGAAATCATTTGAGACATGCGGTGACCTTTAAATAGCATTACATGTCGTGTTGTAATCACTTTCATTTCACGCATGACGTCATATTTCCATGAACGTTGTGGGTCGTTTGAAATTCCTGCGCGAGGCCATGTGGCTGTGACGTCATGACCCTATCGATCAATCAGGATTTTCGCGTCACACCACCGACCGGGGGGAGCCCATGGGGCCCGGGAGGTAGGATATATTTCGGAATTGCCATGTCACGAATATTTAACAAGAAGGCAGGAAGGGCGATCTCTCAGAGGAGGGCGTCCTTAGGGGATTTTACAATAGCAATGCTCAACGAGAGGTCAAAAATTTTTTACTAGCTTTTATGTGAGAACGAGTATATACATACTAAATTATGGGTCATCATCCTCATCTTTTTGTAGCCTTTAAAAAAAAAATAGTCAAAATATGCAGATGAATGAACAATGAATGATCAAATAAAAAGGAAGGTTAGAAAACCACCAAAAGACAAAATATGGCAGAACCAGGATTCAAACTCCAGGTCTCCTCATTAAGGTATGCCAACCGCTACACCCCATTGCCTCGTCTTTTGATATTTCCTATCTGTCTCATAAATGGTCCAATCAATTCGAATCCTGATGCCACCAAACTTTGTCCTCTGGCAAATTTCTAATTCTTATTCCCATTCGGTCATATGGCTCATGGATCTGCATACCACACTGGGGTAAGGTAAAGTGCTTCATTTAGCTTCGTCAACTGCAGCACTATCCAAACAACGCTTGCAGTATGCAACAAGTGAGCCAGGAGGCTGGCGTAACTTATTTGCACAGGAAAAGACACACCTCTAGAACACCATAGCCGAGCTTCCTCAGCAAACGTAGCCTCAAGGCATTGCTGCCTGTAGGCACCTGGGTGTGCAGCGTGAGGTCTTTGAAGTCCAGAACAACAAGGGCAATCCTGAAAAAAAGAAGCGGTAAAAATGCATTTCATGAAAGGCAATAAAAAGTAAGCATGTTGCATGAAATCATCTTTCAACTTTTTTTTAATGGTATCAAAGCTTTCAACAGTTAAGTCAATGTATTACACCCTCACTCACAAGACACTGCCACTGTAGCAAGTGCTGTGTTGACTGTAAAAGTATAAGGTACAGTGTATGAGATTCGGTGACAATTACAATAAGTACAGCAAGTTAGACACCAGGAGCCTGTCACAAGTTAGACACCATTGCGACAGGCTCCGCTAACACTGACGCAGCACGCAGTGGGCACCTCCTCAACTCGGACACTTCCTTGTGATCGAGACTGTCGGGGGAAAGAAGACATGGATATAGTCACAAGCCTTTTCAGAATCTTGGGGTAAGCAGTTGAAATTATCTACTGCTAGCTGGAAAAATTGAAACCTTCCTCCAACAGAGCCTTAAGCCACGCAATTAATGCACCTTTTATCAAGGAAATTAAGGCTATTGTGGAAGGACACAATAATTGTACAGGGGAGGTTTCCACCAAACTGAGGCAAACATTTCGATGCTGGAATAGCGGGCCTTTTTCATTGTGGATATTGATTAATTATCAGCAGGTTGCAAAACCTAAAAGCTTGGGCAACAACTTTTGTTTCTTTGTTTTACTAGCCTACCATGATTACTTGGAATCTGTTGTAAGTACCAATGGTCACTGTACGAATCTATCAATGATCTTTGCCAGATCGGGCAATATCTTCTCTCTCGCAAATTTGAAACCCCATTTTCAATGAACTCGTGTAATTCAGTGTCACTTCCAATTGAAGGAATATCCACATTTATGCCTCTGGAAAACCAACAAGGACACTTGGTTCCCTCGAAGCCTCCCCTACGAGTTCTCCAGTATCGCACGTGGGTTTCATTGATGCTGAATCCTTTCCCTACGGCACGATTATCGTACTCAAGCTTTTATAAGCTCTATCAATTTACCAAACATAGGGATGTTCAGAAGGCCCTATGACCTCAACGATGCAAACAATACTCAAAGCTCAAATGCCCGATACCTTCGTGCTCTTTGTCAACGGCAGTTGACAACAAAAACTAAAATGCTGCACCTGCCAAGCAACGTGCAATCAATGGGGGCGGCTGCATGACACCGCCTCAACCTTTCGCTAGGTCCTCATAACAAGGGACGGATCCCTTAGTTCTCAACTCCATCTGCTTTACTCTCTCCCTTGACATGCTCTGAGCAACATGTCAGTGCTTTGTCTGGATGCTTTGCATTGGCGTCTCCTTTAATAAAGCCCAGATGGGCCGATGAACATAAGAAAAAAGCAAAAGTAATTTTTTTACGCTTAAGTGGCAGGTGCATTAACTATGCAGCGTCCGTGTTCTTATACCTACGGGTTCTGGGTCCTCGGTATATACTAATAAACCCCCAAAAATAACCGTGAGTCGATTTTATCAGAATCGGGAGAAAACCCGAAAACACCAAATTGAAGCTGTTTTTTAATTAAAAAAAAACATAAGCTTCAAGCGAAGGAAGCTTTTCAGCAGCCTTATTTTGTGTTTGCCCGCAACACAGCCCCAACTAAACTGTTTGCGAGGCTTTTTTTTTTTTTTCTTCTTTGAAAACTATACCCCTCCTCGTCTTTTTCTCTTATCAGTGCTGGGTTGTCTCCCAAGTTTTCAGGTCACACCCATATATCCTGAAGGCTGGGGAATCCCATACTTCCTATGCTATCTTCTTATGTTCATCAAGATTAGCCCTAATAAATGCCTATTTTTTGTCCAACATGAACAATTCCCATCAAAAAGTACCTGAATTCATGGGTAAAACTAAACCACAAAAAAAACGGCCCCAAATTCAAAGCAAAACGAATTCCCAAAACACAAAACCTTAGCTATAGCTTACGACAACTTACTTTTACTCTTCCAACATACAGGTGAATCTTTTTCACAGTAAGGAGTGATACAGTAAAAAGGAATATATGGTAAAGCAAAGTTGAGGTACTATGTTAATGCTTTGACTACCGGTAGTACAAGCATTTAAGGCACTGACATAAAAAAAAAAAATTTTTCTCCTAAAAAAAAAAAAAGTTACTTTGTTGTGGAGAGGTTCTTGTTGCATATTTGAAGTGCTTCTTTAGTCCGGCTATTTTGTGAGTGACGTTAAGGCTGTTCATAAAATACGGTCGCTGACTGATTTTTTTGACACAATTTTTCGGACATGTTAGACGCCATAAAGCTTATTGCTCGATACGTATTTTGGACAAAACTTCCGTGATTTCGTCAGTTTACGTTGGATCTGCTTTTTAGTAGTAGAAGGGGCCTCATAACGTCTCTGTCCAGTATTCCTGGTATTAGCGATTATGAAATAATAATTGGAGGCATAACCAGCGCGTCCGAAACCAGTGGGCCAAATCCACCTAGAAAAGTTTTCTTCTATAATCGCGGTAACTACCAGGGCATCTCAAGTAATCTTTGTGACTATTTCCCCGAGTTTATAGAGCTTTCCCGCATGCTAGATGTTGAAACTCTGTGGAATCTCTTTAGGAATAAATTAAATTCTTTAGTTACTGCATTCATCCCCTCCAAAGTACTAAGCTCCAGGCGACGCAGAGACAAACCGTGGATGACCGCGGAACTACGCTCTTTGCACAAAAGAAAAAGGCGAGCATATTTGAGATACCGCAAAAACAACGATAATTGTTCTCTTTCACAGTTAAACATTGTAAGTAAACAATTCAAATCAGTGTCGGCTGAATGCAAACTCAGATTTTATGCGTCTTTAAATGATAAACTGAAAAGTAATCCAAAGGAGTTTTGAAAATATGTAAAGTCAAAAAACAAAGTAGCACTCGGAATTCCCCCGATTAGTGACAGTGGTCAAGCTGTTACAGAAGAAGAAGAGAAAGCAACACTCTTTAATAATTACTTTCAATCGGTATTTTCGCCCGCAGTTTCTAATGAGTATCCGCTCTCTTATGATATCTCCTTAAACAGAATGGATGAAATTGAAATTTCTTACACCGGTATCTTAAAAATGGTAAATGGACTAAAAACAGACAAAGCAGGCGGTCCCGATGGTATACCCAATCGTGTTCTAACTGAATGTTCCGGCATCATCTCATCATATTTAGAAATCCTTTTCAAAAAGTCGCTTTCCAGTGGAAAACTCCCGAGTGAGTGGAAAACGGCAAACGTTCCAATCCATAAGGATGGACCAAAAAATGTTGTTCAAAATTACACACCCATTTCTCTTCTGTGCACCTGTTCTAAACTAATGGAACATATAATCTACAGCAATGTTTACAGTCATCTAAGTAAAAATAGCTATCTCACTCCCTCGCAACACGGCTTTAGAAAGGGATTTTCTTGTGAAACGCAGCTGATTGAGTTTTATCACGATCTTGCATATTCATTTGACAACAGACTTCAAGTAGGTAGATTGCATATTTCTTGATTTTCAGAAAGCGTTTGATAAAGTGCCTCATGCCCTTATCATCCATAAACTTTTAAGATTAAACTTACCGACTAACATTATCACATGGCTGACCGACTATCTACACCAGAGAAAACAATCAGTTTTAATCAAAGGCAAGCACTCAGCCCAGGTACCAGTCACATCCGGAGTCCCACAAGGGTCGGTATTGGGACCGCTTTTATTTTTGATTTTTATCAATGATATTACCCAGTCACTGAAATCAAAGATAAGGCTCTATGCGGATGACTGTGTAGTCTATTCTGAAGTTCGGGAAATTGCCGACTGTTGGGCACTACAAGATGATATCCGCCGTATCTCATCCTGGTGCGACACATGGGGCATGAAGTTAAACATAAATAAATGTAATCACGTACGTTTTACGCGCAAGCGCAAGCCTATCTTATTTACATATGACATCAGCGGAAACTCTTTGGCGACAGTATCAGATGTAAAATACCTTGGTGTATATTTTTCAGCAAACCTTACCTGGATAAAACACGTGGACTACATAACCGCAAAAGCAACTCGGATGCTTAACTTTATTAAAAGAAACTTCAGAGACTGCCCTATGAACATTAAAAGCACATTATATCTTACGTATATCAGACCTATCTTAGAATACGCAAGTGTTTCTTGGGACCCCAGCCAGGCATACCTTGTGAACCAACTGGAGAAGGTACAAAATAGAGCAGCTAGGTTTATAGCAAGTAATTACAATTTTAGATCGAGTATTAGTCAGCTAAAAAGAGAATTGCATTTAGTCTCATTGGCCCACAGAAGGAAGTGTATGCGCTTAAAGTTGTATCATAGCATATTTCATAATTACCTCGGCATAAATAAAGCTAACTACATGCTGCCTCCCCACTTCACATCAGGAAGAAGAGATCACTCAAAAAAAGTGAGAGAGTACAACTGTAGGACGGATGTATTTAAAACTTCTTTTTTTCCCTCTACAACAACCGACTGGAACTCTCTACCGGAAGATACAATCAACATCACATCTACGGCTTTGTTCTTCGATAATATTGTAAATGGTGACTTTTTTAACTGATTTGTGCGTACTCATGCCCATGCCACTGTTCAACTGAGTATACCATGTAAATACTACAAATCTGTTTTGCGCGCTCATGTTATTGTGCCCTGTGATTTTGTACATTTGCTCATGTATGTGCATCCCTCCCTCGCAATAATGCCTTAGTTAGGCGCTGCGAGGTAACCTGAATAAATAAATAAATAAATAAATACAGACACAAAACAACCGTCGCAAAAGTGATGCGAGCTTAGTCACCGCCATTTCGGTTGTTTTGGTTTTGCCCTGTAGCCTCGATACCACGTCCTACGCAATAAACGGGCTGGTTTGAGGCTTTAGTCGGGTTTTCCAGTTCCGCTATAGCCAACATGGCCGCCATCAGCCCATTCTTATGGTTCTTCCAGTTCTTCTCGTGGTCCGTGTTTTTCAAATGCGACCAAGTGCGACAGCGAGTCTGCCGTTCATGTGGTCTTTGAGCACGAAGGTTTTTTGCCGATAGGCTTAGTATTGAAGCGAGCTTGGTGGACTAAATGTCTCCAAATAGTGCCAAATGGCGCCAACTTCAACTTCGCTGTTTGTGCCAACGAAGGCGCCAACAAAGTGCAGCACCGTGGTCAAACAGATCAACAAACAAGTGAAAAGTGACCAATATAAAGCGGAAGTAGCACGAGAACTTAAAATTTACATCGAGCAAGAAGAAAGTGGACGATGCGCAGCAGAATATGCGGAAATTTGATATTTTGACTGAAATCCATTTTTCGGAATGACTGATTATTCGGACCATTTCGAGGCCCCTTCCAAGTCCGAAAAATCAGTCGGCGATTGCATAAGACAACCGCTCTGCAGAGAAAATTGCTTATAGCCCATTCACACGATGGACCGAATTGTGATTTTCGTCCACTGACTGTGCACCACGCGACTGTCACGTCACCGAATCCTGCGTTCCACGCCTCATCCACGGACGCGCAGACTGATAAAGTCAAGCGCCTTTTCACTCGCAGATTTTTGGCAGGAGATAGACTTGAAAAACATTTAGTCTAACAATGGTACAATGTTTTTTTGTTTTTAGGTAATTAAAACAAAAAGGGTGCATTGTTTTATTTTGTGCATTTGCTGGTTCATTTTGTCGCACAATTCTTGGTTCCATGTGTGAAAGAAACGGCACAGACTTTGTCCGGCAGACGCGACGCAGGTTCAAGTACTTCTACGGGTCCGTGTCAAGAAGCTTCAGTCGAAACTAGTCTAGCACGCCGCAATAATTCTTGCACGTCCAACCGGCCTTTCACCGAAAAAGACGTCTCTCGTGGCTGTGGTCTATACGTAAGTGTTGTGCACGAGCGCGGAGTGCGTGAAGACATCTCCAAACGCCCTTCCGTGAGCCCAGAACTTCGTCGCTCCTACACCGAAGCCTTCTCGAGCAGGATGCATGCTTGTGTCATGTCATGCTTTGAGTTAGTAAAACCCGTGGCACTTCGCGCAAAGCCTATCACAGTGTTCCTTCTTGATCTGCACCTAACAGCGGCGTTTGATTCTTCGTCGCAGTAGCAAACGTCGATTTCTCTCTTGGACAATAGTACCATGGTACAATGTTGGAGCTTCGCGGCACTGTAGGGTGGAGAACAGGTTCGGTCTGTCCTCGCTGGCGTCTCCTCGTCGTCCCTTTTGTGTGGATGCGCTTAGGAGACGAATGAACCGTGGATATGTCATCACGTGATCAATTTGTCCGCGTATCAGTCCGTCGTGTGAATCGGCCATTACCAACAACGCATTCACTCGAGCTCGTGCCCTCTCAACTTTGACTTTTTCTACATTTTAACTATAATCATTCGCAGGCTGCTGTTCAGAAATAAATATTTAATAGTTCTACAGCCCCGGTAACTGCTACGTAAGTGGCTCAGTCCTTTAATTTACTGAATGCATTGGGTTCATTACCTTTTGTGCTCAGGTTGAATGGTTGACTCCAACAGGACCGGCTGTAAATTTTTGTCCACAATCATCTCTCCATCTGAGAATAGAGGGAAATATTTAACAAATCAATATCTGTCTCAGGCCACGGCTACATGCCTCACCTGCTGCAATCCCATAGGGGAGGGATGGGTTGGTCAGCAGGTACCTTCCAAGGGGAGCCAAGTTGCTCAGTGCATCCCTGACAGACTTGTGCAGTGCCCCAGGCTCACCAACCTTGTGGGTCTGCATGATAACACCAATCTACTGTTTTCAATCCTTTTCAATTAAATCATTTCTAAAGCTCCAATGGTTGCAGTCCTATAGCTGGTGACAGGTTAAGCACTCAGCTAAAAAAAAAACTCCCAGGAAATGAATGGCTGACAGTATTAAGTCAGCCAATTGCCTCAACTCATTTTTTTTATTTCATTTCATTTATTGTCCTCAAAGGCATCTGGCGATGCATTACGTGAGGGGGGATAGCAAAAATGGGGAAAAGTCGTGATATACACATTACATGAGAAAAGAATGATCTTGGACTAGTTTTCACATAGAAAACACAGCAAACGCCATACACACAGAATGCAAACCAACAGTTGAACATAAGCAAATTCCGTACTCTAAAATACAACAAAAATAACAATGGGATAAAACGCGATTATTATAAACAGTACAAAAGGACACCAGGGAGCAACAAATTAACAAAACAGTTCTTCACACCTCTGCTTAAATCGATTCGGGTCAGATAAAATTACAAAGTCGTTAGGAAGACTGTTCCAGTCTTTTATAAATAATTCGAGTGGAGAAAACATGAACAAGTTGGTGTGTGATTTAATGGGTTCCACTTTGCACGAGTGATCAAGCCTAGCAGACGTGAACTGTACGGGTGAACATAAGAATTTGCTAAATAGTGTTTCGTCGTAATATATTTGATGAAAAAAACATAAACGAGCAATTTTTCGCCGTGTTTCTAACGGGTATAAACCCAAATTTCTTTTTAGACCAGTGGCACTTGTTAGGGGTGAATACTCATGACTGATAAAGCGCGAAGCTTTATTCTGTAGACCTTCTAATTGTAGCGTTAAGTAGTTTTGGTGAGGATTCCATATTACACAAGCATATTCTAGCTTCGGAAGGATAATAGTTTTGTAAGCAAAAAGTTTTGTTGATTGTGGGGCGGAATGAATGGGGCGTTTCAAGAAACCCAGTTTCCTTGATGCATTGGCGACTGTGCTTTCTATATGTGTTTTCCAAGACAAATTGTTAGTCAAATGGACATCTAAGTACTTATATAGTGGTACATTTTCAATATCCTTGTTCAAAATTGAATATTGGAAATGTGATATGTTTTTCTTATTTGTGACTGTTAATATGCAACATTTACTGGAGTTTATTTTCATTTTCCAGGTAGTCCACCACTCGCTAATTCTGTTTGTCGTTTTGAAGAATTGCATGATCAACTGGGGTGGAAATTTTTCGATAGACAGCACAATCGTCAGCAAAAAGTCTGATCGTTGACTCGATATTCGCAGGGAGATCATTGATATAAACTAAGAAAAGCAAAAGTCCGAGAACACTTCCTTGAGCTACTCCAGAAACCACGAGCACCTGTGGAGAGACACTATTGTTTACCATTACTAACTGAGTTCTGTCGATGAGAAAAGCCGATATCCAGTCAAGAATCTGGGGGTCGATTTGGAGATGACAAAGTTTCGAAATTAAACGATTGTGGGGTACTGTGCCAAACGCTTCCGCAAAGTCAATGAATGTAATATCAGTTTGTGCTCCAGCGTGAGTATTTAAATGCAAATCATGTATGAATTCAATGAGCTGAGTGTTACATGAGTAGTTTTTCCTGAAACTGTGCTGATTAGGAAAGAACGTAACGTTCACGTCACTGACGTCACGGCTTAAGGAACATACTTTTTTACAGCGAAGCTGTTAGAGAGACACTGACACCCCCCCCCAAAATTCTCTTTTTTTTTTATTTCTTGCAAGGTGATTATTAATGGTTGTCAGGAGACTACCTGACTAATATTTTGCTACAGAGTCACATACATTTTTAATAGAGCCAAAAAATGCAACTGCTCAGAACCAAAACCGAAACCTGCCAGTGGAGGTCAGAGAAGTATAGAAGAGAGAGTGAGTGACAGAAGTCACGTGGTTACACTCGTGCACTCTTTTTACCCCCCTCCGTTTTTGTTTTTTTTTTGCTTTTTTGGCCGTGCAAGCAGACGACATGTGTTGTGGGAATCGTTTGCTGTGTGATTCCTTTGCAGTTATGTTTGTTTTGCTCGCTGTTCTGCACTTCAAGATGAGTTGTTTTGTACATTGAAGAGTTGTAAATAAGTAGTGAGTGCCGTGGTGAATCTCCGTGATCGGCTCCAAAAAGAATACCCCCAAGATGTTGCGTGAAGAACTGCCTCACAGGTTCTGCATACCAAAGTGCCATTGTGCGGCAGAGTCTGCACAAGTTTTAAAAGATCAACGGGATCGGGACCAGAGGCTGGCTGCAATTCCTGCAGAACATTTACGGGCACTTCGGAAAGCGGAAACTGCCCGATTTATATGCTCCTTGCATTTTGTGGAAAATGACTACATTCAGTTTTCAGGTGTCAAAAAGGGAATCCCTTACTATTTAGTTCAGCAACGTTTCGTCCACAACATGTTTTTATCAGTGGTAATTGTAAAAAAAAAAAAAATTAAAATCTCGCAAAATGTCTGAAAAAAAAAAAAAAAAAAACGGTTTGCCCGCACCTGGGGCTGAATCTAGGTCCGCTGCATGTGAAGCGGACATCTTTCCACTGAGCTACTGGGGGTACTCTTCATAGTAGTGCAGCCAGTCGACTGTAGGTCGGAAAGTTTACTGCTGATTTCCCTCCAGCAAAGGCACTCTCAGCTCGAAGTTGGGCAGCACCACGCATTGGCCACATTTGCACCTATACTCGCGGTCAGCTTTCTGTGGCAATTCGAAGCGAGGAGGAAAGCGCATGTATGGCGGTTGGTGCACCCTCTCCCTTAGCATTGACTGCATTGCCACAGAAAGTTGACCGCGAGTATAATAAAGAAATCGTTCGCGTGCATATTCAACTTGAAGTACGCCGTTTGTGCTTGACGTTGCACCAGCAACGTCTTCAGCCACGAGAAGGGGGCGACGGCTCGGCAACGTCTTCGTGCAAGTCAGCTTAGTGGTCGGGCGTGTCGTATGGGATGAATACCAATTCTTTTGATCGGTCCGAAATTTCTCTTCCAAAAGAAGACAGAACTCGACGGTACCGCAAACGACGACTCTGAAGTAAAGGTCCCACGCCCGTCGTTCGCTGTCATCGCCGTCCTGCCCGCGAGCCCCACGATACGCGATACGACACCATCTTGAGAATTACACAGCGAATGCTTCCGGTTCTCTGTGCAACGTTTTTCTCAATCAACATATTTGCAGCTTTTTACAAGCCACAAAAGATGGGTTTCACTTTTTTTTTTCTATTTTTAATATTGAGTGTGTGCCTTCAATGAGCAAAAATTTTGATTAAATTAGGTAGTTGTGTCTAAACCTTAGAAAACGGCTTGTGACCACGGAAAAGAGAGTGAGCGCGACTCAAACCGGCCAGTTCATGATCGACGGTTTTCAGGCGGAGAGAAACCAGATTTCGAGCCACAAATTCTGTTCTGGGTAGTTGGGCTCTCATATGTCACATACAACTAAAAACCTCGGCGAGCATAAATATGCTGTCAGTGTCCCTTTAAGGGCCAGTTCACCCCCTATCGTGCCCGCGGACAAGTGGCGTGTCGACACAAAACTCGATCCAGTTCACCGTCACCCTCACTCACGCACGACGAGGAGAGTTGCTCATTGTGTTCCGTCCCGTCTCTCCCCCAACCCTTCTTCCCCGGCATCCGTGTCAGCGGCCACCTGCGTCTGTGCCATCGAGCACGCCCCGTGATTGGCGTGGCCCTACTAGAATAAAAAGTCATTGTCTCACCTACCAATCGCGTGTGTGCTGTGTCCCATGACGTCGAGATCGCGCTAGCGCTCTTATCAGTTGCCCTTTAGACTCACGATGAATCGGTTGCGTGCTGTTCGGAGCAGGAAGAAGAGCAAGAGGAGCGGCAACGTGCGCAGCAGCGCGAATGGCTGCACAAGTGCCGCAAAGCCGCTATCGCCTCAAGCTCCACTACGTCAAGTGGTTATGAATCCCTTTCGAAAAAAGAGCAGATCGCTCGCCCGGAACACCGCCGAGAACGGAAGCCACCATAGTGCAGCTTCGCTGGTCTTCCTTCCTCACCAGAGTGGAACGGCTGAAAGTTTTTTCGATATACCGGTGGGCAATGTTGGTAACACCGAGGGACCCCGGCTTCCTGCAATGATTTTTGTTTTCTTCACCTACCCAGGTTTACATGGTAAAGTTGAGCCAGTATCCACTTTTGTATGTGGCAGTTTTTGTGTGACGACGCGAGAATTCAATGGTTGTGTCGTTGCCGCTGTATTCAATGTGCCTCCTTGGTCAAAAGAATAGACCTAGCGATTATCGAGACTATGTTTAATATGCATCATCGATGCCAATGGCTTCTCTTTGTTCATTTGCTTGCCCCCCCTTTAGTTACGTCGCAAAATCGCAGCAGTACTATGAGCATTTCTTTGCAATGTTTTCTGTGGGGTAATGCGAAAATGCTGCTGTCACCTCTATTGATGCGGTACGTTCCATGAGATGCTCAAGTGACGCCACCACCAAGCTACTTTACGAGAAACTTTGTGCGCTGCTCTGCTGACTTCAAAGAGCAACTCCGCTTCAGTTTTGTTTTTGAAAAAACAATGCAGTCCTCTTCAGTATCACCCAGGAAGACCACACATCAAATATTACTACCAGCTCTGTCTAAATGTTTCTTAAATGGTCTGGCAAACTTTGCAAAGCGCAAAGTTGCCAAAATCGGCTGACTCTAGGGTGCGAATTGAGACGCCACCAACAGTGCTGTCAAGCCTGCAGCGATGGCGTAGCCAACATTGAGCTAACGTCACCACCACTGCCACTTTTTGTTTGTTTTTTACTTCTCCGGGCAAGCGTAACAGGTGACGTCAGCAATGTTTCTTCTCGGCGCTTAGCAGTGTCCGCGTGATTGGCGTGAAACGCCTGTGCAGCGCGCTTCTTGGGAGCTGTCCGGCTGCCCCGCCGTTACCGGCGTCCCAACTGACGTCGTCGTCCCACTCTTACCGTTTGTGATTATTGTCTCTCAAAGTTTCATTCACACTACGTACACAGATGCTGCAGTTGTGCAGACTTCGTCGAATGTCGTAGACATCAAAACAAGAGCGCGGGACAGGTGACACTTGCATCTGGCACACACCCGCTCCAACGGTGGCCCGTCCTAACGGTGGTCCGCCCTAACGGTGGCCCGCCCTAACAGTAGCCCGCGCTAACGGTGGCCCATCCCAACATGGCCCGCCCCATCCATTATCCCGCCCATCGTTGCATAGAGGATCACGTGACATCTCATACCACGTGATAGCCATGTTTCTGGTGGCCCTAGGCCAATGTTGCCAGGTGGAACCAAAGTTTTGATTTCTGCTTATGTTTAAAGTAAGATTTAACAGTGTATACCGCATTTTTCGTGAAGAAAATGACACAGTGCCTTTCATTAGTGCTTTTTTAATGTGAAATCACTCATTAGTCTGAAATTTTCAGAATCGAGCTGAGTTGCCCTTAATAAATAAAGAATGCCTACTGGACTGGAAGCCTTCAAAGCACAAAGTATTAACCGATGAAACGTGGCACCAATGCCAAGTCTCGTTGCACACTAAAGGTATGAGGAGAAGCCGTTAGCACTACTTTCGTCGGTTTCGTCGAGCGAGGTTTACGCGATTGTCCAAGCGGGGGCACTGAAGACATCGACGGCAACTATCTTGGACAGCAAGACGACAGTTGAATTCTCATATCAAACGTAGGAAGTGCCGTGAACAAGAGCACGTACAGGCACAGCTCTGCGACTTAAACATGGGCCATTTCGAGAAACCGGCGTCTCTCAACAGAGCCGATGTCGAAAACAGTGCAAGCCATGTTGAAAATAACAGTTTGTCAGGCTGTGACATCAGTGACGTGAAGGAATGACTGGAAGCGATTGGCTGGCAGAGTGATATACAGCAGTCTCTCTTTATAACGAAATTCCTTCATTCAACTTATCGGTTTTATCAAACTTCATTTTACTTTAAGTTTATCGGCGGCCAACCACACTTATTACGAAGACAGAGATGCTGAAAGCATGCAAGCCTACACGGTGGCACATGGGAGACCCTTGTTTTTAATCCCACTCCTCCACCGAGGCGAACGGATCAAGCGACAAACAGAAAACGAAGCAACTGGGTGACAGACGACAGACGGCTATTTCCAATGTATAAGTGTTGCCGCATGCACGGCTGCGCCTGTGGCGTACATATGTGTCAGTGTTGTACGGGAGTGCTTTCCGAAAGTCGCTTAGGTTTATAAGGTAGAAAAATATGGTCGGCCCAAGTCCGAAATCGCCAAGGAGTTCGACATTCTGGAATTGAATATTCGACCATGGCCATCGAGATTTTTCGCCAACTCTGCTCTGGCCCGTCTAAACGCTCGGCCACCCAGCAGAAGAAGCGAGCTGAGTCAGTTCTCTAGATCCCCACGTTGGTGACGCCACTGAGGATAACTTAAATTCGTACACAGATGTCAATGAGAACATTCCTGTTGTCGTTCCTGCCACGGATCATAGACCTTGTGAGCAGCCCAGGTAAAGACTAAGACACGTCGAGGAAGGACCTCGAGAAATGCCAACGACTGCAGAGGTGCAAAATACCCTATGGCTGCTTTGGAAGAAAGTGGAGCAGCGGCGATGACATTGCGCTTGCGATGTCTCAAGAAATTCAAGGAGGACCGATACCCAGATTAAATTATCGGCAGGCTCCACTTCATTCTCTTTTTTACTCGTCCATAAGGGTGCTACGAGTTGTTTATCACCATGGTTGTTTGATTAAATATACAGTCAAGGTGTTGCTCAGTGTTCGAGCGTCCACCTAACAGGCTGCTCTTTCTGTTCTTTTTTTTTGTCTCTCTCACTTATATTGAATTACCGCTTATACCGAATTCTTTTGCCATCCAATGACTTCGTCATACCAAGAGACCACTGTAAATCCTTTCCGAGGCACATCTGATGCTGAATCCTGAACCTGCCACCTGCTATAGTCGTGACAAAGACGGAAGTTGATTTCCTAAGGCCTGAACTAGCATAGTTTCTGCGCACAAAATGAAGTCAAACAACGCACAGCACCGTACCTCCAACAGAGAACTGATGACATCTTTGGGAAACCTTGGGCTGTCGGGAGACTCGAGGTCACTAACGGCAATGATGTTAAGGAGCTTGTGTCTCGACGATGCAGCGACATGAGATGATGGTTCTAGAAAGAAAGAAAAAGGGACATATAGTCAGTTACAATAGGCTGATTCATGCAAATTAAACTTGCTCCCAGTTATAAAGTTATACCATATGACATATCCACCCTTCGCATAATATACCTTGTTCCTGGCTGCTTGATTCCTTCTTATGAGATGTATGAATATCCAAAATGTAGACGGCCCATCAGATTTCAACATCTAGAACTCAATGAGAGTACAAATAAATAGTTTCAGAAGTTTTGCGACTGAACACAAACGCAACTGAGCATGTACAGTCTTATTTAACACAGGAATCATCAGTGAAGTGACCGTATTACATTACTGTAAAACCAAGGGACCTAAGAAAAGTATTATCTAAAGGGGGAACACAAACCAGAAAAAATATTTCTGCAAAAAAAGTTGATTCCGAAAAATTTCATATTTACATTTGCCAGCATCTATACTCCGTATCACGATAACTTAGCAAACTGAGGAAGCGGCAGCCCCTGCGACCCAATAAGGGTTTCGGAGCAAGTCACATGATAACACTCCATGGTCGAGGCCACGGCAACAGCACCGTCCGCGACAGAAATTAGTTATAGGTTTTATTTTCTTTTAGCGGCAATTGGACTCACGCAATTCCATCTCTACCGAGCACATATAAAAAGTAAGGAATAAATATTCATAAATTTATGAGCCTCCATTATATTTAAACAAAAAGTGATGTCACATCTGTCTTCGCTCCTTGTATTTTTTCTTCTTGTGGTGCCGTGGCCGTTGGCGATCGCAGCCGTATAATTGACCACTTCGGCTCAAAGCATCTCCCTGGCATAGCACTCACCACTCTAGCAGACAGCAATGTTGCGGCGGTGCATGTTCATCTGAAGTTGGTTGGTTTCGCAGCAAACGAATCTTGGCCAGCAGACAACAGTGACACACACGCTCCCGTGACATGTTGTCACGTGCCCAGCTCCAACGCTCCTATTAGGTTGCGGGGGCTGCAGCCTCCACAGTTCGCCAAGTTATTGTGAAACGGAGTATAGAGAGTATTCCCAGAAAGTTTCATTTGTTTATACTGCAGTTACTTTTTACAGCAGAGCTGTTAAGGGCTAGGTTCCCCAGGATCGTGTCCACCAGCAAAAAAATGATGGCACCAAACTCTGGAAAGCTACCGCCATCTATGAGCGATGGCGGAAACCAGAGAATTGGTTGCCGCCGTCGCTCATAGATGGCGGCAACCTTTCCTCGGAGGAAGAAGAACGGGAGCGGAATGAGCGGCGATGTGCACAGCAGCACGAATAGTTCCGCAACAGCCTTGAGGTGGCTATCGGCTGAAGTGCCACTTCGCCGAGCGCTTCAGATTCCCTTGCGAAAGAAGCGCAGATCGCTCGCCTGGAAAGCTACCGTAGAGAACAGAAGCTACAGCTCCGCCCTCTTCCTTCTTCACCAAAGTGAAAGGGCTGAATGTTTTTTTATAACTTGTTTTCAGTCCACCAATGCTAAAGCAAAGGTAGAGGTTCGATCACTTTGAACGTGTTTTTCTCCGTTTCACTTTATATGGCATAAAAAATAAATCTTTCCTTTCAGTATGAAACTATCCAGACTTAAATTTTGCGGCTTATATACCGAAAGTTTATGGAGCTGTTCACTATGAACTTAAATTTCGCACTTTCATGTTAATTTATTATGAAAAATTGTAATTTAAAAAAATCTGGTAAATGTCAGAACAAAATTTTTTTTCATTAATTTTTGTAGCTAGAAAATTTATATTTTGTGAGATTTTTCTTATAGCAACCGGCAACAGGTATTCCAGTATGTATCCACCAGAAAAATATGGGGTTATCGACACCATTTCTCAACGACAGAATCATTGAGCAGATTCCAAGCCAAGCTGTGCTTTACTTCGTTCTGGGGGTATAGAACCTCATAAAATTGGTTCACAGGGCTGAAACTTTGCGTGTCTTCGTTCTACAGTAGAACCTTGATAATACAAATTTTAAGAAATCGAGAAAAATATTTGCCTTATCCGAAATTCGTACGAACAAATTCTTTTTTTTTTTCAATGTAACCGAGGAGACATTTTTGTAATACATAAAAACGGTTGCACGTGTCATCGCTGACGTTGATCGAGCTCAATATGCGCCGCAGCATGTCGAGGGCATGCAGTGTTTCAGCAGTCGTTGGCAGCTACTCATTGTTTGTTACGTCGCCATCATCACCTCCACCACTTGACTCTCCTTGCGGTGCACGGAGTTCAACGGACGTGTGTGTGCATACAAGGACAGTTCTGTGGATGCTTGCTCGTTGACGATCACATGATCATCCCTGATTCTGAATGTCATTTCTCATGTTCGCTCAAGTGGTCGAGTTACTAAAACCCGTTTATCACGCCACAATAAAGGTCGAGCAGCCACCTTGGAGTAGGTGAACGTGAGTTACTCCAGCAAGTCGAATTCGAATCATGTGACGACACAGATAGTAGTGTAACGCTGGAATCTGGGTATTTTTTTCAAACTTTGGAATGCAGCCACAGTTATTGTGATTTCACGGCACATATGTAGAAAAAATGGCAAAGAAAGATGACACAAAACTTTGAGCCTTTCCACTCTGGTGAAGAAGGAAGACCAGCAAAGCTGTACTATGGTCAGATTACCTCAAGGACGATGCCTAGGACGACCTCAAGGACGACTTCTAAGACAACCTCGAGGACGACGCCTGGAGGACGACCTCAGGAACAACATCTAGACGACCTCAAGGTAGACGCCTAGAGGATGACATCAGGAACAACATCTAGACAAACTCAAGGTAGATGCCTAGGACGACGTCTAGGATGACCTCAAGGATGATTTCTAGGACGATTTTGAGAACAACGTCAAGGACGACCTCGAGGACGACTTCTGGGACGACGTCTAAGACCACCTCAAGGATGACTTCTAGGACGACCTCGAGGACAACCTCTCGGACGACATCAAGGACGACCTCAAGGACGACGTTTAGGACGACCTCAAGGATGACTTCTAGGACGACCGCAAGGACGACGCCTAGAGAAATTCAGCCTTTCTTCTCTGGTAAAAACCAGAGTGGAAATTACAAAAACAACAAGTGTGTTGGCTAATAGATACAAAACTAAAACTATAAAACAGCGAGGACGAGGACGGGAAGAGGACATCTTTCATTTAGCAACAACATAGAATGGCACAACGATAAAACCACCCCCCAAAGGTTTCAACGTTCTCAAAGAGGGAAAGGAGATAATTGTTATAAAGGAAAGGGAATTTACTGTAAATATGAAAGTTTAAAAAGCGCTGGTGTCATGATGAGGTATCACTCATCTAGTTATCTCCGATTATTTAGAATTCAACCTTTGTCAAGGCCAATGATAATGAAGGTGCAGAAATATTGTTGTTTACAGTCCCAAAGGGAAATGTACTATAAATATAAAAGTTTAAAAAGCTCTAGCGTCACGACGAAGTGTCAGTAATCTAGTCATCTCTGGTGTTAGGAATTCAACCTCTGTCTTTGTCAAATATAATGAAGGTGCAGAAATATTATTGTTTACAGTCCCCATGGCAAATGATTAAATGATTTCTCTCCTAAATATGTTTATACCATAAAATACCGGAGAATCCACCCAACTTTCACTGAAAACTGGGATAATCTAGACATGGGCGCTTGTCCGGTCAAATCAGGCGCTTAACGTACGATTTGCAGAATTTCCAAGTTTGGGAAATGTAAATAGTGGGCACTTGAACAAAGTGGGCGCTTCCGCGGTATTTTACGGTACTTTCAAATCTGTTTATACTTTTATACTTTCAAGTTTTGTATGTACAAAGTGGAAAGGCTGAAAAGGTTGTCGCCAGCTATGAGCGAGACCGGCAAGCCGATTGTCTGGTTGCCGCCGTCGCTCATAGATGGCGGTAGCTGTCCAGATTTTTGTGTCGACACTTCTTTGCGGAGGACACGATCCTGGGGAAACTAGCCCTTAACAGCTCCGCTGTAAAAAAAAACGCTGGCTATTGTCGAAGCCAAGCGATGCCACCCTAAAGGATGAGTAAACATTGTGGATCTTCGTTCGTATGATCCACTACGGCCCCAGAAAGCATTCGGACTATCGCAAAACTTAACACTTTAGCCTTAAAGAACTTTGGCCGGGGATTTTGAAGAATTTGTATCATCCCATAATTTGAATGAACCGTGATCATACCATCGAGATTCTAGTGTATATGGCTGCAAATAGGCATATACACTAGAATATATGCCAGATAAAATTCGAAGCGAATATTGATTTTGGCCGAATATTTTCCAATCAAATAGTTTGAATAGTACAAGCAACAAATACCATAAGATTTGTTTAGACTCTAGTTTTATATTTGCCCCTATTTGGTATTAGAAGTATTGTAATTGTTAATTTCAAGTGTAATAGTTCTGGAGTATGAAATGCTTGAAATGCTCGGAAGCTTGTGCCACCTGGTTGGAAATCCAAGCCAGGAAAGGTAGAATAATGCGATATTGTCGAATACATAAATTCGATTCGAAGCGAATGCCAAATAGAACAGAATTCGATGGGCAATTCGTAATAACCGAATATTCGCCCATCCCTAGCTGCAAACACCCCCTGCAAATTTCCCGCCAACTGAGTAAGAGGTTCAAAACTTTACATTCCCAGGTAGTGTCCTTCCCTAACTGAAACTTCACTATAATGCAATAATGAATTGTAAACTAAGTTACACTGGTCTTTTCTTACTGCAGTAGTATGTTTCATATGAAAGCTGGAAAATCACCTAAGCGCAGTTTGTAACAATATACAGTGCATTTCACCAAACACCGGCCAAACGTTTTTCGAGAACTCCGTGTAGGGTAGAAAAATTATTGATGCCATTTTACTCACTGCCGAGAGGAAAATTTAGTAAGGTAGCTAGCATCTTCAATAAATTTCTGATCAGTTTTGTGTCCTGTTCCCATTCTTTTTGTCTACCCTGGTCTTAACGATGTGCAACCTAAACCAGCTCGCTTGTTTACTAGCTTTATAATCAATTGTTACTTCTCGATTGTTTTTACTTCCTCAGAAAAAACACAAAATGGGGCCAGCAGCATGCTACACTTCATACATTAAATGAAAGATCACATGAATGTTTGTACAACGTGGTTAGCCATGCCTTGGATTAGATTGACCCATCAAAGACAAAGTTTAGGTATTGGTACTTGATTGTGTTTAAAGCAAGCTTTCTTAGAAAATATATTTTTTTTCCATCAAAAAGATGATGTGTGGCAGTTCATAACTTTTTCTCGACATGGAATCACTCATTGCCCCAGAGTGTTTGGAATTGAACGCAGTTTAAGTAGAATACAGTGGGAACAGTGTCTGTTGTCTCTTGGTGCCTGCTGTCCTTCCCAGTTATCCAACACCTTACACATTTTTGCGTCACCTCCCCGTGGCCTCAGGCCAGACCATCTCACCTAAAAGCGGGGTATAGAATTCAGGCCGGAGGACCGATTCTAGATGATGTCGCTCGGCAAGCCCGAGAAGTGCCAGTGACCAGACTAGGTCCAGCCAGACCGCAGGAACCTCTTGGAAGTGGTCAGGGGTGAGTCTCTCCAGCAGTAAAGGAAACAGCTGCGGTGAGCAGTCGGGCACATACTGCAGACGAGCCAGGGCAAGGAGACAGGAGGCCAGGTCGTGGGGACGGCAGTCTGCCGCATGTTTAGTTATCCACGATGCACACGCCTCCAGAAGCTCTGCAGAGAATCAAAGGGGACTAGTCAACAAATGCAGGAAGGTAGTGTATGATAATAGGATACATGTATACCAGTAATAAAAAAACGCAGCAAGCAGCTGGAGGTTAGACGTGTCAATCCCGAGACAGGAGATTACATACAGTGGCACAAGCACAGATTGCAGTGTGTTTCTTTTCTGTATAACTAACGTGCGAAGCTCGGGTATTTCTCCGCATACTAGTTGCCTATTCGAAAAAAGGGGTCGGCCTGTCGGTAGCCAAGGCATAGTGCATCACGAGGAAAGGCTACCACAATTTGGTTGTAGCTAGCCCAATTCACACAATCAACGAATCCTGCTGGATCTCTATTAGTTTGCCAGGAAAACCAACAGTTGCCGAGGTACGAGTGTGTGTGCAGATGTGACGTGAAAGGTAAAGGCAGTCACCGGGGTGCCTCCAGGCCACCTGCCCGACGCTGGTGAGGCAGGCGGAGACGAGAGATGCCTTGGCCCTGTCGTCGAGCTGGGACAGGAACGCCTCGGTGAGCTGCAGCAGCACGGCTGGCTCGGGAAAGCTCAGGGACTGCAGCGCGTGCATCAGGGTCACCACTTCCTTCAGGGAGGCACCCTGGGCAGGCACAAAGCAGGATGAACCCTCAGAAACTGTGCTCCACTTGTGACCAAGAACTTCAACGCCATTTAGTGCCACACGCTGTGCAAATGTAAAGATCATTATCACCTTCGATGCCTGGCATGTTGGTTTAGAAGAAACATTTAGGGTTTGTCCAATGTACAGATCCTCTTTGTTCTGAAAGCCTCCAAATTGCTGCTCTCGTGGCATGTGAGGATGTTTACTATAGTAGCAGTCCAATTTACATCAATTAGTATGCTCCTCTTAACAAAAGTAAACAAGAATAGGGGTAGTGAACAGAATATTCAGAGCCAACTGAATCGCAGGTGGCATAACCCATTGCAAAGTGCAGTTACTTTTGTGCTGGTCACCCCCTAATGAAGCTTTCTTAAAAAGAAGCTGAAAAGGTCTTAAATTCGAAAAAGACTGGAAGTTTGAATGTAGGGAACCTAAAAATTAAAGTGCAGTTTCATTTTTATTTTCTTGGTAGGGGCGACATAATTGCCAATTAAAATTTCACCATAGCTCTGTCCACCGTTGCGCGCAGAGCACAGAAAAGAAGAGAGGAATACTAGAGAAAGTGACGCTACCGGCAGGGTCAGATAACTGTTGCTCTCCCCTAAGCTGGCCAGGAGTTGCCGACGATGGCATATCACAACACCTCTGACAGATGAGAGGCAGCAGAGAGGCTAGCACATGCCCTATGGCAATCGCTGCATGTTTTTACAAAATCAAAGCAGTTCATGTTTCAATCTGCCCAATTTAGGTGCAATAGTCAAATTGAGGGGACAAAAAATTAAAATGGTACTCTTAAGTCAGTTTCCTTTTTTTTAGAAGTGCTGAAGCGGACGACTTTTTATGCCCGGCGTCAAGGCAGTCAAAAGGACCCGAGAAGAGGAAGAAAGAAGCTCACCATGTACAAAGAGTTTTGTTTGTGTGGACCGACATTATTCAGAAAAAACTATTTCTGCAAAAAAATTGATTTTGAAAAAATATCATATTTACATCCACCAACATCTAGAGTATTCCCAGAAAGTTTCATTAGTTTACACTGCACAGTTAATTTTTTATTAATTATCTTTGGTCAACCGATGCTAAAGAAAAGGTAAGGGTTGGAGCACTTTGAATGCGTTTCTCTCCGTTCCACTTTTCGGCATTAATCTCACTTTAGGAAGACTATAGTTTTTCTATTACACAATAGAGACTTACTCTTAGGTGGTTTTCTGGGATAGAATTTTGTGAGGAACATGCCTGGCTGGTTAGTTTTTTTACTTTAACTTTCTTTTATTCTAAACAAACTACATTTGTAAAATAAGTGCAAACATAAATATATTTTTTTTAAATCTTTTTATGGAGTTATATTTATAAAATACAATGCAATATAGCAAAATAACCAGCTGGGTATGTGCTATGGGCATTCCCATAACTATATTACACATAAAAATCACAAATCTTTTTTTTTTAGTACAATAGTTTTTTTAAGCGAACACACTGACTTTCATATTGTAACATTTGTAACACGTCTCACAATTGACATAGGTCAATGAATATTGGCAGGGATGGTCTTGCAACTCATATAAACTTCAACTGCAAATTTGATTGAAATCAAGCAAGTGGTACAGAAGTTGACTTTTCTGGGAGGTGTCCCCCCTTAAAACAATGTCAAACCGCTACTGAAAAATGACGGCTGAACATCATAAGGCACAATGCATGCAAGTGGTATTTTGCTAGTCATTGTTATGCTACTTTTGCTAGTTTTACTCGGAATTGTATAATTCTTATAACATCAAGAAATACATGTTGTGATGCTTAAAACCTACAAAATTTGTTGCATTTTCAGTGAATATTAGGTAGGTATAATATGTTCAAGAGCAGACATCCACAAAATGTTGCACTCAGTGGCTTACTTTCAGAACTGCCTCGGATAGACAGAAGGTGTGCCATTTGCCATTTGTGTAGTGTTGTAGACGGAGTGATCACTGAGCCGAGAAAGACACCCGGATCCAACACAAGAGACACGAAAAAGATTTGTTGAGTGTTTTGTGACGTAGTGCCCTTCCCAACCTATCACACAACCTGTGACGAATAGTCGAGTACTGTTTTGAGGTTGTGACTGGAAATGAATACACTCATGTGCTGCTTATCCAAACACTTTGATCCCAAGCTCTAACTGCTCCCATCATAAATTATTAGCCCAGTTTTAAATCAGAACATAAAAGAAAACAGGCTCTGCTGTCTATTTGTCTTTTATATTTATTATTTTTACGTATGTTATATTCACCAACACACTCCCAAATTCATTTTAAGAAAAACAACAACAAGAAAAGTGATATGTTTATTTTCAGACCAAGCCATTTGGTTATAGGCCTCTAACTAAACTATTTGGTCAAAAGCCAAATCGTTTTCAGCCTGACTGAAAATACTTACGCAGCGTCCTCCCTTGTTATGCCTCTCTGTTCCTTTTTAACTAAAAGCCGCATGTTATAAAACAGGGGTCTCGAAACACATGTCCCAGGGGTGCCTGAGACATGACCCACAAGCATTCCTTGGCTGCAAGCTCCCCTTTGCTGTTTTTAGCACTTGTAATGACATGTGTCATAAATACAGCAATGGTCCTAGCTATGTCGTCTATCTTTTACTTTCTGAGCATTGTTTCGTCTTCATGCTTGCATCCCCCCTGTTTTTGATGTTAACCACCTGAACGACAATCCTATTACTGGGCTAAGAGCACGAGCCTCCCTCAGCAAAAACAACTGACAAAGTTATAAGCCTGAGCTTCAAGCCTTAGCTTCTGCACACCTGAAGATCAAACAATGCATATGCAGAAAAAGAAAATACTGGAAATCGTGTCTTGTCTTATATGAATACTAAATAAAAATGGCTGTATGAAGATTTTTTTTTGGAGAAAGTTGAGTGACAGGGGAATGACACTATTCCTGCGAGTTCCATTAAAAACTGCCAGCATGTCCTCGGGGTGGCGCCGTCTTAAATCTTATCACATCAGGTACGGATATAAAGTAGTCATATCTAAGGGGGGGAAACTACCCAGAAAAAAAAACAATTTCTGCAAAAAAAGTTGATTTTGAAAAATGCCATATTTACATTTACTAACATCTAGAGAGTACTGTCAAAAAGTTTTAATGTTTACACTGCGTGGTTAATTTTTTATAAATTATTTTCGGTCCACTGATGCTAAAGAAAAGGTAGGGGTTGGAGCACTTCAAACACATTTTTTTCAGTTTCCACTTTTTGGCATAAACTTCACTTTAGGAAAACTATCGTTAGTTAATGAGACGAGAAACAACTCGCTCATTATTTTTCCTAAGTGGAATTTTACGGGCAATGCAACTGCAGAATTGTTTTTTGACTTTGGGGATGTCTTTTATAAAATATGTTAGATATTGTCGACAACATAAAAGGCAAAAACATACTTGATTTTTCACTGCAATGTTAGCATAAAATAAAATACTTTTTGAAAATTTTGTTTTCACAGTTGCACTCTCCAGGCATTCTGCTGCAGATCTACAGTAGAAATATGTTGGATATTACATTAGTTTCCTAACAATAGTTTTCCTAAACAAAGTCGGTGTGTTAGGAATAAAAACGACTATAATTTACTTTACAGTTCATGTACACAGATGAAACTTTGCACTGCATTCTGCCTTGCAACTGCCAGTATATACTGTGAATTTTCTTCATATTAAGCTATAGGTTCAAAAGTTGACCCTCTTGGATAGTGTCCCCCCTTAAAAGCTAAAATTATCCCCCCCCCCCCAAAACTGTGAGTTTACAAGAAGATAGCCCAATGACTCCTCTCCAGAATATCTCCGGGTAGAGTTGCTCTGCAACGTGAAGCCCCACTGTTGCTTTCCTTTCCCTCAAAACATTTTCAAGCTTCCCCCACCCCTTCAAGCTGACCCTCAATATTTCACGGATCAGGTATCAGGCCTCATACGAGTCTGAAATGTCTGTTTTAGAGCAACTAGCCTTGCAAAAAAAACAAAAAAAAAACAGGAGGATTTCTTTTTTGGTTGCACGTTGGCATTAAAGCGGAACTTTGGTATAGTGAGTATCGGACAAGGAAACATAATTGAGATACCAACCAAATTATGGCAGCAAGGCAATGATCTATAGGCAAGTCAACACCTCAGCAGCGCAAAAGGTTAGTTCCATCACCCATAGTAAAAGGAACCAATGAAGCAGCGCACAAGAGCCAACATCTTTTTGCAACACGGCTCACCCCGTGGCCCTTGCCGAGGTAGAATGCCGCTGCCTGGAGGAGCGGGGTCGGGCGCAGCTTAAGCCTGGCCAGGGCCCGCACCAGCAGCCGGATGTCCTGGGGCTTGAGGGAGCCCATGAGCTGCAGGGCACGGTCCTCTACCTCCAGCAAAAACTTGCGGTCACCCACATGCTCGGATGCGTCCAGCAGCCAGATGACGTCCGACACGGTGCTGGCGTGGGCCACCTGGCTCCGGATGCGCGACTGGAGCAGCCTCACCACCTGCTTCTGGAGCTCTGTCTTCTGTCAGGGCCATCCACATTGTGAACAACACCGTCAGTTCAAAGTGAACGTACCTAGTTGTAAGACTAAAGCATTTTATCGTTCGTTCGTCCCTAAAACTTCGTTGGAAGGGAACCACCTTCCGGGTTTTGTTTCATCCATTGTTAGTGATCAACTGTTTAAGTACGCTATTAATACCCTTCACTAGCTGTTTCGAGCCTCCATGAAATAGCTGTAAAATTACTTTCTCTCGTTTTTTTTCTGCCGTCTTTTGTTGTTCCCACTATCCTCAATAATGCCGATGGCCCTGAAGGTGTGTAAATAATCAAACAAATAAATTGGGTTGTGCATTTGTTTAGACAGCGAGAAGTTAGTCAGCCCCAATGGTCGTCTGGTGTCTCCTATGTAGATGATAAATTTTTCCAGTGCAGTACTACTGCTAGCCAGTAGTGATACACAAGTGTGCGCCGGTATGCTGCTCGTCCAGATTGAAATGGGCAGGAATAGGGATTGTGCTCAAGATCCCTGGGTTCTGCAGTGCAAGCTTTCTCTCCATGTGCTCCAAGCTAGGGTTCTAAGTTGGACACTCCGCAAGAAAGTCGGCAAAATTTCAGACTGGCACGACTGGACAATTGCGGCAGTCCGAGATCTTGCCGGCTTTCTTAGAGCCCCTGTGCTGCATTAACACACGCAGCCACCCATACCACTCTGGGTGAACATGCGACCTGTCCACCACATCTCTTTGTAAGCATTCCCACTGATCCGAAGGATCAATGGCATGAAATTGTGAATCTGCTGCAGCTGCATCCACTGAGATGTGCCATTGTGATTCTCCAAACTTGGAATCTGCTACTGTTTCTCAAAGAATGCATGCATCCAGCTGAAGCAAGTGGTCATCTGAGTTTCATCATAACTATTGTCTGGCATAAACTAAAAGCTTGCTCTCCCTTTTATGCTGGGGGAGAAACACAAGCACGAATGTGTGGCATAGCCTGTTACGGCAGTGATGTGATTGGCCAAAGCCGTTTTGGAGCACCTTTTGGAGCAGCCAAAACACTGTTTTGTAGCAACAAAAGTGGCCTTTGGAGCAGGCAAAACAGTGTTTTGGAGCAGCAAAAGTGGCTTTTGGAGCAGTTAGAACAGTGTTTCGGAGCAGCAAAAGTGGCTTTAGGAGCAGATATTCTTAGAAAAAAAACAAAGATATTCGTTTCAAGTGCTAAACAAACCAAGGACACTTTGCTTACCGCAATAAACACATTGTAGTCAAGTTAGGCCACCTGGGAGTCTCAACATTTAACTAAAATGCCAATGACATGATAGATTTTGCAATGCTTCAGTTAAATGATACGTATATATCTACCCGCTATAGGTAAATAAGAATCAAAGTGCACATATTAAAATTGATTTGAAAATGACCAACTTAGAATAAATGGCACAGCATTAGGTTGACTAGTGATAAAATAAATGAAAGCAGTCTCGAACTGATGAAACAAGTAATTAATTACTGCAGTGCAATGCGAAATTGTCGCGCGAGCGGAGATGGCTGTTCGATCGAAACCATGCCCCTCCGCTCCGTCGCTAACTGGTTCCCAAAACTGTATGCAAAATGTAACTGTCCAGCATACGACAAAAAACAGTCCAGCGGCACGTGCTTGCCAGGCCGGGAGCCGAGGTACAAGCTAACACATAAAGAAAAAAAAGAGCGTGAGCATATTGATGCAAGACATCGCGAGTCAAGGTCAAAAAGTTTTTGAAGCGCTTTGTGCAAGGAGTGAGCTTGAGACAAACAAGCGCGCTGTGCGGGTTCAGCGTGCAGACATTGCCTTCTTTGCTTTAGCTCATTTCTCTTCACCAACTTTCTTTCGCGGCAGATTTTTCACGTACCGGCACACCGTGAGACCTAGGAAAGCAATACTTTGACACAGAAGTCTTTGAGCTAAAAGGGGATTTTTGTAGTAACGTATGTTTTACACAAGAACAGGAATGTTGATGAACTTGCGGCGGTACTTAGTTTCATTTTAGAAAGCGCCATATCTGCAGCGACGTGGGGACGGCAACACCAAACATCGCGCGACCACGATGACTGGCAGGGAGGGACCAAATATAGTTTTCCAACGGCCGTTGCTTTCAGGAGCGAGTGCTTCAGCTCCCAAACCAACTCCCACCGCGCAAAAACTTGGTTTCGTTCCATAGCAATACGGCATGGCTGGTACCACAGCACGTTAGCGTCGGAGCGTCCACCCGCGTCTATCGTTGAAAAAAAAAAAGAAACGCGAGACGACAACGGCGCGGAACGAGACATGGCAGGAAAAACCATGCAAGACCGGATGAACGATTGATGCAGGGTACTTTGTGTCGAGTGGTCGCTTGCGCCACCTAGCTCACGCATGCTCAATTACGATACTCAGTTAAGTTTTGGTTTAGAAAGGCGACCAAAACTGGTCCTTTGGCACAGGCTTGGCGCAGATTACTCATATTTTGACAAAATGTAGCAGGATGTAGCAGGGTTACCCCCTTGGCGCAGTTTGGCGCAATTGGCGCAGCAATCACATCACTGCTGTTACGGCCTAACTTCGTTTATCTTCACAAGCGAGTGCTATCGCACTATATTCTTAACCTGCCCCTCCCTTGCACACCTTGCCATCATGTCAGAGAGTTGCAGATTTTTTTGCTAAACCACATACAGGGCCCAAGGATAAAAATCAAAGTACAAGAAGCATAAAATGAAAACCGAAGCACTATTGGCTCTATGCTCTCAGCTTCTATTTTTGACCTTAAAGGGGCACTAAAGAGGATTCTGCGATTGTCTGTTCTTGGTCATGACTGATTCTACGGGCCCTAAGCATCCTAATAACACACAAATTACGATCACGAAATGCCGACTGTAATTTTTGAATTTTTAGGGTGTTTAGGGCCTGTAGAGTCAGTTATGACCAACAACAGACGATCACAGAATCCTCTTTAGTGCCCCTTTAACAACATACTTGATAGAAAAAGCACTGATTACAATAAAGATAACACCATTTTAGGACACAAGCACCTCATCTCGTGTTGCAGAAATTTGCTCGCGTGGCTTTAGCAAGCAGTAACTTTCATTTCATGCTGAAAATCACTAGAACACTGCACATAAACTTAAAACAAAATGTGAGGAGAGCAATATACACATAGATTAAACTTTTTCCTTAAAATATCTCTTTTTTATGCAGTTCAGAGGATCCTTTAAAGCAGTGGTCGGCAACCTTTTGGCGAAGCGGGCCGACTCGCCGCGAAGCCAAGGCGGAACGGGCCGGACGTCAAGCAGCGGGGGGGGGGGGGTTACAGTTAAAAAAAAAAAAAAAATTGCACGAACTTACATTGACGTACATAAATCTAAAATGAACAGTTTCTTTATTTCATGACAAACAACATCAGATACGACATCTCCACGAAAACCTAGAGACTCCTCTCAGTGAGACTTTTGGTGTTGAACTGCGCTCGCCAAACTATGAACATACACATTCAAGCTGCTAAATGCGAGTCGCAAAACATTGTGGAGGCTCTCGTCAGTCATTCATGAGCGGAAGTTGGATTTTATGCACTTCATTCGTGAAAAAGTCTGCTCGCAGACGGGCAGCGAATTAGTCAACTTTATTATTTTTTTTTCCTTTAGCTGACCGCGTAGGGGGCAAGTGGGGGTTAGCGGGAGGCTGAGGGCCGTATGATACTACCTCGCGGGCCGGATCCGGCCCGCGGGCCGTTGGTTGCCGACCACTGCTTTAAAGGGACACTGAACCAAAATTTGTAGCTCACAAAACAAGGCTGGAGTGACAGGCGGGACGCCGCAAAACCCAAAAACATCACTCATACAGCATTATCTCCAATAACCGCCCGTTTTCTTGGAAATAAAGCGCGCGATTGAACGTGGCCGATGAGACATGTCACGTCACGATTCTCATTCCCTCCCCTCTTCGCCTTGCCCCCTCGGGCAGGTGAACTGAAGTGAAAAGGAGACAATCAGGGCCGCTTCCCCTCATTCTCAGCTGCCCCAGGAGAATCGTGACGTCACATTCCTCGGTTGATCGCGCTCTTCTTTTCCAAAAATGTGACTATCCATTTGAGATATCATGTATGAGTGATGATTTGGAGTTTGTAGCATCCCAATCAACATTTCTGTGGCTTTATTTTGAGAAATCCAAATTTCAGTTCAGCATCCCTTCAATTAATCCTTTTCGACAAATTTCATTACATAAATTCACAAAACGAAGCCTGACATCTTAAATAAATTCTATTGGTAACAATTTTGGTAAAAAGCAGCCAAACTTTCCTCGGCAAAGCATGTAGGGTTGCCAAACATTTTTAACAGCACAATTGACCTTTTTCAGAGATCGCTAGGAGCATGCGCCAACTCTGAGAGAGGGGAGAAAAGGGAAAGGCACCATTTTTTAAGGCTCCCTCTTCTGCTCAATCGCTGATACAGTGCTGGTTTGGCTTGACTCCCTCCGCAATTCTTGCGGCTTGGCTTCATAGTCGTCATGACCCACCACTGCGCAGCTGTTTAGTTGCACAAATAGCAACAAAAACGGTTCAAGTGGAAGATTTTGTATTTCTAGCAGCTTTTTGCAGGTGGTGCACGAAAGTACCCAACGTCAAACACCCTGCCCTTTTTGCCCCTCTTTCAAAAGCCCCCGTTTCAGAAGCCTATGCCGCCAATCCCGTGTAATGTGGCCGAATCCTGAACATGACGGTGGGGACATTCTGCTTTTAACTGGAAGACAGTAAGTGTGCAAGCAAGGTTGTGTAATGTAATCATGCCATACTTGGTACTCAAGTAAAGAATAACTGTGCACTATACACATTCACGTCTTGTAACATTAAAACTTAAAAAAAAAAAATTGAAGATATCAGTTACTGGCAAAACATATTTAAAGCGTGCGAAATGGGTTCGAGCCTACGGGGGCAGAACCCTGACAGAACGCCTTGGCAACCAACCATGAACTACCCTGTTTGCAGGGCCCACTTCGTTGGACGTTCATAAATGTGTTGACTTCAAAGAGATTGTTTCTAACATACCTTTTCTTACATTTTGATGGTGTAGGTGAGCTTTCGCGATATCAAGATTAACCAAATTTTACCCCCTCGGAGTTTGTTTACACTGCCCCAGGTACGGCAACGGCCCGTGCGCTCGCGCGGTACACAGGATAATGAAGTGACGAAACGCAATAGGCTTAAAGGGGCACTGACACCCCAAAGGTCGTATTTATTTTTATTGTCTAAAACGATGCAAGTTGCAGTCATAGACACGCAAAAAAAACCGCATCGCGAAAAAAAATTTTCTTGCGCGCGCGCGCGCCTTTTTATTTTTGGCGTTTGATTTTCCCGCCTCTCGCCTCCTTGCTTCTTTTGATCGGTGACGTCAAAAATCAGGAAATTTAGAAGCTTTGTAGGCGACATCTCTATAACATTTAATTACGGCAATCCTAAAACATGTTTTTTAACGCAATTGCGAACGCACTACGGCCCTTCTTTTTGAAATACCAAAAATCGGGAGTTCGTTGTGGTGCCGTCTCCTGGATTTGTATCCTCCAACGGAAAACAGGCGACACCGCTCAAAACCGGTCCGCCACAACGCCTGCGCTGGCTCCTTTCCTCCTCGCTTTGGGTCGCCATGGCAACAGCAGGGAGGGGTGAAAGGAAGTCGACTCTCAGGTCTCCACAATTTTCGACGTCAAGGCACCGGCGCCGATCGCGCGGGAACTTCGAATTCGGCATTTGGAAATTGTTTTTTTACTTCACGAATACTGAATTCCCAAATCTCAAATTTTGAGGGTAATGTCCCGGCATCGTTTTCAATCGTTTCGGATAATAAAAAAAAATATGATTTTGATGTGTCAGTGCCCCTTTAAATACCTTAGGCGCTCAAGGAGAGCGAAATCGGCTGTTTGTAGTGGCCGGGGCCTCATAAACTGAGCTCACAAGCTCCACACAAGGTGGATAGTTGGGTCAAGATTGAAACTTGTTACCATTACTTTCCTTACATAACACACTGTCTTTAAAGCCAACACCTTTTTCAGTTGCTTGCACGACGCAACACCGAAGTGACGATGAAGGGACTTTGAGTCGACAGTAGGCACCGATGCAGCGTCGGCAGTCAATCCAATTTTTCCTCAGCCATTTCAAAGATGCACGCAAAGCGCCAGAAAGAAACGTTCAGAATGGTGAAGGATGGAACAATGCCACTAGAAAACAGACGTGAACACACGGAATGCGAGACATGCCAGGTGCTGGTGCGGACCCAGGTCCCCTAAAAGTGTTTCGAGCGATTTTCCCGGGGTGCGCCACGATCATGTCCAAACTCTGAAAAAGGCCCATTGCACCCCAAGCTGTCCCTGACGGTAGATCTCACCTGGTACCGGATGTGATAAGACAAACAGATACACAGATTGTGCAGCTTCATCTTCCGTGCCCTCCAGAGAATGGACTGCTCAAAGCACGCAAGTGTGTGAGCATCGCAGGGGACATCGGACTCCAAAAGTCTCCGAAGACCCGAGACAAGGACGCCATCTCCAAGTCCCTGTTCCCGCCCGTCTACCACCCTGTTACAGACGGTGCTGAAGTTGATCTCCGGTTGGGGCTGCGGCCCCAATGCATTCGTCTGAGGTGCTGTGGCAGTCGTGAAAGAGGCTGACTGCCGTATCCTCTCCTGGATGCCGGGGCTGAGAAGCAAGGCCTGGTGGACAGTTGGTGCGTGTCGGCCGACGATGGCAAAGTTAAAGGGAGCCACCCTCAGCCGGCAAGGGCCAACAATAGTCCTTGAGACAGCAAACATACTGCAAGGGACGTCTCGTGTCACGGAACCATCAGGCTGTAAGGGAAAGAAAAACATTTTAAAACCTTACTGTGACATATGGAGAAAATCAAAGTGAATTAAGTAATGGACACTCCCCTTCCACCACTGCAGCACATTTAGCTCACTCACAGATGTATACTCTGTTCACACTCCTCCAAAAGTTATTGCAGAATGTTTGTAGACATACAGGATACTCCCACTGCATAAGTACAGACATGTGAAACTGTCCTCCGGTGCTATCAGCTCATACAAGTAACAGTTTTATCTTTATTAAGGAAAGTACAGTCAAGTCCTGCTTTCTGCAGCAGTGGAAAGTTTAAGCACTACTGCCTAAAAAGTCTGGGTCAGAGAGACAACCGTAAACAGGGCACATTCCCATGTCTCGTTTATTGAGCTCTAGTCAAAGGGTTTTTAACATTTACCAACTTACCAGCATCTGTGCTTTCTGCATAAACCTCCTACCAAAACGATGAGCTAGTGCAACATCCTACGGCCACTGACTCTCGATGCTCACGGTGACACAAACGTTCTGTTGTATTGACGAAACTGGAAGCTTTGAACATTGTGCATTAATGACAATAAGCAGTGATAAGCAATATCAGATGCCTCAGCAAATCAGGCAGACAAAAGGCCTAAAAGTCCTGCAAAACACCGTGCTAGCTTGACTGCCGTACAAGCCACCTTGTCACCGCCATGTAGAAGGATTCACCTCACTACACGGCCATGAGGTTCCAATGCCTCTAGCCCCCAGGCACCCTTTCATTCCCCCTGGCTATGGTACAATCGTTGAGCATCTGAATACTACAAAGCAAGTGCTGACCAGTTGATGATGATTAAATAGATTTAGAACACCTGTACTTGAAGTAACATTTTTTGAGTATGTATGTACTGATACTTTACATAAAGTATTTTTTTCTGGTTCTTTCCAAAAAAAAGTACAACTCCCGACTTCAAAGAACATTCCCCAAATTTTGTCTTGTTAAATCTGCGTCACGAAGTGATGCTTAGTCAATTTTTAAGAAATACTGGGAGACATTCTACTCTCGCCCGAAAAGCGAGCAGACGACGCACCTTTGTTTCTACTGGGAGCGGTTTTCCCCCAGCGTTTCAAACTCTTTCTCCTTTTCCCTCTGTCAACGCAAGCGAGGAGGCTTGCTTGCTGAAGCTACGGGGCCGACGACATCCTCTCTCCATCATGAAAGATTGTGATTAAAAAGTACTCTTACTTTATTTTGAAAGCATGTTATATTTATAGTACTTTACTTGAAGTACATTGCACTCAGTGTACTTACTACATTACGTGAAGTGCATATCGTAAAATCCCAAGCGATAGCCCACCTAACATCAAGAGCAAATCGGGTGAAAATATGGAGTGGGCTAACTTTCGGTATGCAATCAAGAAAAGTTTTAAAAATTGCTATTTTTAGGTTGTGTCCCTTCCAACCCTGTTATGGTGGCGAGGGGCAACGAAGCAAAGATGACGGTACTGCCCAGCCAGCAACGTTTGCTTATATACTGCCATAGCTAGCTAGCCGCATTTGCGCCGAGGCCATCATTGACCCTAACAATACTATTACTAGGAGTGGGCTATATTTCGGCGTTAAAAAAATATAGCAAATCAAGCCAAAAATAGAGGTGGGGCATCTCTCGGGAACCTCTAAATTTACTTTGTACATTATTCCAAGAACCTTTTAGATGTACTTTACCCAAAAGCTGGTTTTTCGGAACAGTAGCATCAATGCGCCAAGAAACTGATGGAGAAGAGGAGAGGAGAGCATGATGTGGGGACGTCAGAACGCCGAGCTCTGGTTCATATGACGTTTTTTTGCTGATGATTGTGTATTGTTTTCAAATATATCTTGTGTATCTAACCAAAAATGCTTAGAGGAGAGTATTCAAAATATTTCATTATGGTGTCAAAAGTGGCAAATGAATTTGAATGTCAAGAAATGTGTCCAGATGTCAATTACACTGAAGAAGGTGCCTATCTTTTTTTCTTATTCTATTCATTCAAATGCCTTAGAAGTAGTTAATAAATACAAGTATCTAGGTGTTACTATCACGTCCAACTTAAGCTGGGCTAGTCATATTAAGCAGACTGTCGCAAAAGCGTCAAGTAAATTGTGGTCGCTATGTAGGAAAATGTGTCACTATATTCCTGCGACAAAGCTGACGGCCTATAAATCACTGATTCGTCCTTTGCTGGAATATGCTGACGTTGTATGGGACCCGCACTCGCAATCGCTTATTGACCAACGCACTTTTTCCGAGAAGCGTTCTGCGCACGCGCGAGCGCCCTATGCCAAGCGGCGGAAGTCGGAACGAAAAATCGAGGAAATTTGGAAGGAGGCTGCATATCAGCAAGTAGAACACGCAACTGCAGCATATATATAATTGTGTTACACAAAAAAAGAATGTCGACGGAAAGGAAAACATGACGTTTGGGTGGACGCCACGGATGCCCCTCTTTAAAGTCGCGTTGGGCAGGCGGGGCAGGCGCCGCTGCTCAGAGAGCGAAGAAACTGGTAGCATAGCTCCCATTATCGATTGGTAGCGCAGGTAGGTCACTTCCTCGATTTTTAGTTTGTGCAGCCACTGCCTGGTGCCGTCGGTATGTGGAAAAGGTCCATTGGAAGGCCTTAAAAAAAAAATCGCTTAGGTTTATTTACAACTCATACGGCAAAGATTCACACGTGTCACCATTGTATACCGCCTCCAGGGTGTCTATATTATCATGTCGAAGGAAAGCGTTTGACATTTTTGCATAACATAATTCATAATAACGCTGGTTTAAATTTTGATGATTATTTGTAGTATAACGCGAGTCGCGCTACAAGGCAGAAGCACGAGAATTTGCTCCTTGAGTTCCGCTGCAGAAAAGATGTTTTTAAAAACTCATTTTTTCCTCGTTCTGTTAGTGAGTAGAATGAGTTGCCACCAAGTGTGACGGCGATTGTTTTTACCGCTTTATTTGCGAGTGCAGTTGAAGAATTGTTTTTGTCACCAATGACTAAGCTACTTGTTTATTGTTGTTTGTTCATTCGACTCATTGATGGTTTCTGATGTTTGTCTATCATGCCTTGGCCCTCAAAAGTTGGCCAGCAGTATTCTCAAATAAATAAATAAATATGATTAGTGGGTAGACATCAAGCTAGCAGTCTTTGTCTCCACTGCAGTCGTCGTACACGTTTGAATGCAAGAGCTAAACGCGGAACACCAGCGTTTCGTGTTCAACGAGTGCAATGGAGGGACAAAGGCTGCCTTCGTCTCGGCTGCACTCGTCGAACGCGTTCAAATGTGAAAGCCATACACTAGACGTTTGCGTTCTAACTTGTTCGACAAATGCAGTGCAGACCAGGGTTGGGCAGTATTGCAATACAAATGTATCGCAATAATATTTCAGAAATACTTTGCGTTTATATTTCTGCATCGCGATACAATGTTTTAATCAGTGTCTGTATTTCAGTATCGGAATACATTTTTTGTGTATTCCTTGCATCGCGATACAATCCCGCGCCAATGTATCTTGTTACAATGTTTGAGAAATCAGTGGCCCCCAAGCGAAAGCTCAAGAGGCTGTTTTCTTTCTTTTTTTTCTTACTTCAGAGGGGTAGAAGGTACAGTAAATGTGACATTGAGGCTTTGTTATCAAGTAGGTTAAGGTTTCTTTTGAACCTCATGGCCCTGACAAGACAAAGGTGACTCCCTCAGATGTCTTCCGGGATGCTTCAGTTGGGCAATTATATTTGTAGATTGATTGATTATTAGGTGTTTAATGGCGAAAAAAGCAACATAGGCCATGCTGCGCCAAAGGAATAATTAAAAGACTCTATAGTAAAAGGAAGGAATTACTATGCAGAGGATCTATAACTGGTGCAGGTAGCCAGTTTTTTTAAGAAAATCTAAAACATGACCAAAAGGAACTAAAGGTTGATCTCCTAGTAAAAAGGCTGGATGAAATGGAAGGTATCCAGAAAGTGAAGGAAAACTTGTTCGACGTTCTTGATCAAAGAATTTGCAGTGCCATAGAATATGCAGCATTGTTAGCAATTCACCGCAATGCTCACAGACTGGGGTGTCCTCACCACAAAGAAGGTGTCGATGGGTGACACGTGAATGTCCAATTCTCAAACGACACATTAAAACTTCATGGTGACGGTCTCTATGGTGCGAACTCTCCCATACCTCCAAACGTGGTTTGATGACATGTAGCTTATTATTTATTTCTTTGTCCCAGTCTTGCTGCCAGGCATTATGAATTGCTTTCTTAAGAACTGGTTTAAAATCTTCTTGAGGCAGCTGAACGGGTGTTTCCAGAGCATCCTTAACAGAGGCTGCTAGCCTATCCGCCTTTTCATTACCTAAAATTCCCACATGGCTTGGTACCCAGCACAGCTTGATATTGTATCCCATTTGGAAAGCCAGGTTTAACTCTACCCGTACTTGTTGCACGAGCCGATTCTTAGAATCATTGAGGGAACAGAGAGAGAGGATAGCACTCTGGGAGTCCACAAACAAGATAGCTTTCCTGATGTTGTTGCCTAATATATATTCAATGACCATGAGCATACCATAAAGTTCTGCAGTAAAAATGCTAGCAACAGAGTGAAGCCGTCGAGCTTTTACAAAGTGTTCTGAATATACAGCCGAACCGACAAAGTGTGGTGTTTTTGCACCATCAGTGAAGAATTGTGCATAGTCCTTATACTTAGCTTGCAAGGTCATAAACTCTTGCTGAAGGACTAGTGGAGCAACAGTTCGCTTATTGTATTTCGCTAGTGACCAGTCACAAGTATAGTGCACCGCCTTCCAAGGAGCAATGCTTCGAACTTTTGTCATCAAGCTACGCTCAGGAAGTGCAAGCTGCAGGGATGCAGACATGCATTGAATGCGGAGGCTTAAAGGCCGTACTATACTTGGCTTATTCTCAAAAAGACGAAAAAAAGGAGATACCTGCAAACAACGGAAGGATGGGTGTTCAGGGTCAGATTTGACTTTATAACTATAGCATAGGC